GGCGGCCAGGGGAGGTGGGGCCGGGGGAGCGGCCAGGAGAGGCTCTGCGGAGCCGGAGCCGGGCCGGCGGGGCGGGGTGGGGCAGCAGGCGCGGCCCAGGTCTGCAGCGGCCTCTCCCGCCCACACGGAGGCTGAGCTGATTCACTGCAGAACGAGAGGGACTTCCTGGCCCGCGCTGGGCCGAGGGCAGGACCCCAGGCCCTGGGGTGGGGCGGCGACCCCAGCCCCCAGGAATGAAACCTGGAGGAAGGAGAGGCACGGCTGCGATTTTATTTGGAAGCGCCCCCTCCCCCAGCTGTGGTCGCCGACCCCAGTGGCCACAAGTCCTGCTGTGTGCGGCTCTTGGGCATTTGAAGGGGCCCGGCCCAAGCTGAGATGGGCTGTGTGGCTAGAATTCACACCGACTTCCTGTGGAGAAGGGAGATCACGTGTGCTTCGTATCCTGTGCTGATGTGACCGCTCGACGGGGTTAAGCGCAATGTGTGTGTAATCCACCTCCCGCCATTTGCCAGTTGTGGTGTGGGTCTAGGACACAGTTATGGGCGCCGTCTGCGGCTCACCGTGGACGCCCATCGGCAGTCCTGGCCTGAAGCTGGACGGGGGCCTTGACCTTCAGCCTCTGCAGGCTTCAACCTTTTAAAAAGGTTTATTAATTTGAAAGAGTAGCAGAGAGAGGGAGAGGCAGAGAAGAGATTTTCTGTCTGCTGGTGAACTCTCCGAATGCGGGCAACAGCTGGGGCTGGGCCAAGTCAGAGCCAGGAGCCAGGGACTGGCGACATCCATCGCGATCCCCATCCCCTGCCCCCTGGTCAAGGGCCTGCTTTCTTGCCCAAGACCCCAGTGAGCCCTCCCCCTCCCCTGGCCCTGGCTTCCTGCTTGACAGCAAACGATCCCGGGCGAGGCTGGCGTCTGGTGGCAGTGGAGCAGGTTAGGCCGCTGCTTGCAACGCTGCCATCCCACAGGGGCACCGCTTTGAGTCCTGGCTGCTACGCTTCCGGTCCAGCTTTCCTAACGCACCTGGGAAGGCGGCAGAAGACAGCCCAAGTCCTGGGCCCCTGCCGCCAGTGCGGGAGACCAGGATGGGGTTCCTGGCTCCTGGCTTCAGCCTGGCTCAGCGCTGGCTGTTACAGCCATCTGGGGTGTGAACCAGTGGACGGAAGCTCTCTCCCCCCAACCCTCTTAATCTTCCAGAAATATCAATCAATCAGCCTCAAATAAACATAAATAAATAAAATGACCCCCAGGGCCCCGCCCAGTCCTGTGCTCGGGCAGCTTTCAGCGGCAGCTCGCTTGTCCCCGCAGCCTGGAGCTCCAGGCTGTGTCGGTGGTCACTGCTCAGGGCCGAGAGGTGATCGGGCTGCAATGGTGTAGCTCCCAAGGCTGAGGCTGCCGCGCACGCACACAGCCAGGCCCTCACGTGGTGACACCAGCAGCCAGGCCACAGCACAGCGTGGGAAGTGTGCCTGGGCCTGGGCCCTCCAGTGCCCCTTTCTCCTCCGGCCGGGCGGTGGGGGGACTCCTGCAGGGAGGAAGTCCTTCTCCCCGCTCGGGCAGATGGTGGCCTTTGGTCCTCCGCCTCGGGAGGCGCAAGCTGCCTGCCTCCCGCGTGCTGGCCGAGGACGACAGGCTGTGCCAACGCAGGAAATGGCCTTGTTTGTCCAAGGGCTCTGCTGCCAGACCCTTGGACTGACGCTGAACCACGGCCGCTCTCCCTTACGCTGTCTCTGCCCGCTGAGGCTGGGGCCGGGGGAGGGGCGAGGTAAAGGGCCACAGGTGCAGCCGTGGGGGTGGAGGCCATGGGCGGGGCCTTCCGGGGGAGGCTCTGGGCCGGGAAGCTGCCCCCTGAGAGACAGAGTTCTGCCCAGAGCGAGGTGAAGCCGACCCGGCCCGCCTGACTGGGCCAGCGCGGGAGGAGGGGGGTAGGCGACTGTTTTTGGGGCCTCCCACATGGAGGGTCCGGAAGCAGCCATCAGAGCAAACCCCAAACACAGCCAACCCTGCCTGTGTCGGAGAGCAGGCTTCCCGCCCTGGACGGCTGGGCACGGGCGGCTGCGGGGCCTCCCTGCCGCCTCTGACAGACCTCGGCTGCCAGGTGTGCGGGCCTGTGGCGTTCAGGTCCACGAACGGGGATGTGGCAGCGGCCGGAGTCCTGCAGGCCGCGCTCGGGCAGCAGGGATGGGTGACACCCGGCCCCACCGCCAGACTGAAAAGCAGGAAGTTTCATGAGACAGACACAAAAACGCAATCCCTAACCTGCGTCTCTAGCCAGCAAGGTGGAAAGCCGGGACTGAACTGCCAAGTTCACCAGGCCACACCTGAGACGGCTCTGGGAGAGGGAGGAGGCGGGCCCTGCGTGTGCTGTCCACCCAGGGCCTGGCGGCCCACTCACCTGGCACCTAGGCCCGCCTTCCCACAGGCACCTGCTCGCAGGGAGCAAACGCCCGTGGCTTCTTCCTCCTGAGAAGACCCAGGACACTCCCGGCCGCTCAGGCTCACGCAGGGCCACACACCAATCGGCCTCGGGCGGGACCCGTGCACCTGAGACCTGGGCTCCCGCCCTTGCTACTGCCGCTCTTCCTGGGCAGTGTGGATGTCACAGGCTCCACCATTCCACAGGGGGAGCCTGGCTAGCGCCCGTCGGGTGCCTGCGGAGTGTGGCTCCCCTCTGGCTGGGGAGGACCCGTTCAACCCGAGATGGCCAGAGAACGCAAGGCCGCAGTTCCCGGGGTGAGCAAAACCACGGTGGAGAGACAACTCCCGTCCCCAGCCGAGGCCACGCCACCACGCAGCGGGGACTGCTGGCGAGGGGAAGGGGACCCTGCCTGCCTCAGAATCCCACCTACACAGTGAGCACCAAGGGATCAGGCTACGCCCCAGCAGCTGGGAGGGGTCCCACAGGGGTCCCCATCGGTAGTCAGTCACCGGGAGGGGTCCCACAGGGGTCCCCATCGGTAGTCAGTCACTCTTCACCACTTGGCTGTTTTCTGTAACTTGCACCAAACGTCACCTCCCGCTGACAAGAGCCCGCGCCTGTGCCAGCGGTGCCTCCAACAGCCGCAGTCGGTCTACACGGCGCTCTCCACACTGCTGTCCGCTACCTGGGTAGCCCCCCAGCCGGGGCCTCTCCCAGCTCCGCCTCTGGCACTCACCTAACCTAAGACCAGAGGCTGGATCCTTCCAGCTCGCGCGGCCGGGACGCAGGCGGCTGGCGGTTTATTCTGTTTTGCAACACTGATCCATTTTACAGCTAAATCTGGTTTCCATCTCCCCTGTAGCAACAAACGACTCTGGGGGGAAAAAAGAAACAAAGCTGGAACCAACACATATCTTTGCTATCTTTGGATATCTCCCTAGAACTCCTGAGTGTTCCAAGGATTTCAGGGCTACAGACAGCAACGTGCTGTTCAGAAATCTCGGGTCAGCTTTGTGTGTAACGAACGAGCCTAGGCAGTGACAGCGAGCAGCAGGGGCCGTGGCCCAGGGCCGATGCGGGCACAGCGCCACCACAGGCTGTCCCCTCCAGGCCGTGGCGCAGGGTCAGGTTTCCCCCAGATGGGAACCAGGCTCTGGGTGCTGCGTCTCAAACAGGAATCCTAGGATTCTCGATTTGGTGAAATCAGGAGACAGGGAGGGAGGGGCCGGAGCCAGGAGCCAGAGCACCCCCCCTCCCAAATACAGCCACGGGGCCCGTGAGTGCCTGGGGTGGAGGCCATCAAATCCCCAAGGGGGAAAATGGCACGTGGCCACCGGACCTCAGGAAGGTTTCAGGAGACCGCACGCAGCTTCTCCTGCTTCTCCCGGCCGTTGGAGGACAGAACACTCCCAGGGGTCCCAGCCCGCTGACGGCACCGGAGCCACCCTGGAGGAGGCAGCAGGCCAAGACAGGAAGAGACCCATGGGTTCAGGGCCACCACCCAGCAGTGTGCAGGCTTCAGGGGCAACAAGGGCCTGGCTTGGAACCCGAGTCCATCAGAGGCAGCGCTGCCGCCCTGGGCTGAGAAAGGACTCCTGCCTTTGTCCAGGGCTGCGTGGTGCAGCCACGAGTGAGCCAACGGGCGGCCTCAGCCCGCCGGGTCTGTCTTCGCAGGCAAACGTGCACTCTGTACTGAACCTAGGGCCGGCCTCCTCCGCTTACGGCCTCCCTGGCTGACACCAGTGCAGGCTGCCCACAGCACCGGCACGGACACTGGGGGAGGGAGTTCCGAGGAAGCAGGGGAGAAGCGCCGACAGCCTGCGGGGGGCGGGGGGACAAGGAGCTAGAACCACGGCGCGGCTCGGTCCCGGCACAAGGTGGGCTGGAGGCTGCCGGCTCAGTCAAGCCCTGAAGCGGGCCTCTTGGAGCTGGAAGACGGCCAGGCTCGGGCCTGCAGCTGAGGCCGGGACTGTGCAGCTTCCCGTGGAGGCAGACACCGCCAGGCTGAACCACGTGAGGCTCTCACTCGGCTTCCCGTGGCTCTGCAGAGGTCCCATCGCATGGTGCCTCGACGCCCGCCTCGTCTTCCCACGGTCCTTCAGCGGGCTCCCACGGCTGGAGGGCACACGGCAGGCAGGCCGCGCCGAGCTGGGATCCCACCTCCAAACCACGCTCCCGGATCTCTGGCCACGCGGCCTCTCTCCAGCCCCTGGCCCGCCCCGCCTCCGAGCCGACGTGTCTCGTGGTGGATCTCCTTCCCGCGGGCACGGCGACTTGGCGGTGTTGGCTGCGTCGCAGGGCTACGTCTCTTCCAGCCCTTGCTTCCTGACGTTGTTCTGGGACTCGATCCCTGATGCTGAGACGGGAATTTACAGAAAGGTGACTCGGGAAAACAAGCAGAGGGCAAGGGAGGAGGCTGGACCGCGATAGCGTCTCCAAATTACAGGCTGGGAACCGTCCAGACAGCGCATCTGCTTCTGGCATCAGCCGCGCCCAGCCGAGGGGTCAGGACCCCGGACCGCCCCAGGCCCCAGGCCCCGGAGGAGAGAACTGGGATGGACGGGGCACACGTAACAAATGGGCACAGTCTCCATCATCTTTGCTTTTAATAGGTTTGGCTTCATCATTGAGAGTAACATATTTCTTCTAAAAATAGAGCTCTCTGCTTGTTCTGAAACGTGAAGGGGAGTAAGGCTGACCGCGCTGCCGCCGCCGCCGCCTGTCACGGGCAGACGTCGTGAGGGGCTGGGAGGGGCTGGGGAGGCTCACGGCAGGGACGAAGACACAGGACGACATGTTGCACAGCCCACCCGTGCCTGTGGAACCCCCTGAACACATCACTGACCTCGGGGAACCAGCACGGCCCACGAGGGGCCAGATAGCCGTGGGCACCCCCTCCAGGAAGTACAGGAGACACAGCGACCCGCACACACCAGCCAGAAGCTGACAGGGTGCCCTTCTAACACAACGGTCAAGAACGAGTGCACAAACACACGACGTAGCAAGGCAGGGCTGCCTGGGCCAGTGCAGACCGGGGTTTAATGTGGGACGGCTGGGACTCGCAGGCACACCCCCGCCCCCGTGGCACAGCCGGGTTAGCTCCTGAACCCGAAGATGCCCTTGATGTAGCCGGTGAGGCCGCTCTTGGTCTTCTGCTCCAGCTTGTCCTCCAGGGGAGGGAAGGCCACGTGGTTGAGGGCCAGGTCAAAGAACAAAGGCTTGCAGGGGATGGGCTGGAAGGCCGGCGGGAAGTGCACGAGGCTGGCTTGCTTGGTGACAAGGGAAGGGTCCAGGCAGAATGTCTCAAACCGTTCAACCAGAGGCTGCAAGTCCAACCGGAGGAGTCTGGGTGTGAGTCAGAGACGCCTGGGAGGGCACCTGCTCTGTGCCCGCTCCTTCAACCCCCAACCTCCTCGGCGAGCTGCCGCGACGTGCCCACCCTGTAGTGAAAGTCACCGAAGCCCGGAGGGGCTACGCGAGGGGCACAGGTCTGGCAGACATCAAGTGAGAGCCCCTACCCACGGGTGCTACTCCACACACCTGCTGACTAAACAGGCTGCCTGGGGTCTGCGAGCCCCAAGATGGAGGGAAGCAGGGGCTTCCCCAGAACTAAAGGCCCCCGTCCACACCAGCCACAGCCGGCGGGGCACTGGCTCCTCGCCCCTCAGGGGCCCGTCCACACCCGCCACAGCCGGCGGGGCACTGGCTCCTCGCCCCTCAGGGGCCCGTCCACACCCGCCACAGCCGGCGGGGCACTGGCTCCTCAGAGGCTGCAGCCGGCTCACCTTATTGTCTTTCACTTGGGAAGCCGTCTCCGTCTGGTGGTTGTCATTTGCATCTGAAAGTTTCACAGGCAGTCGGTAAGGACAGGGACACACAGGCTAGGCAGCTGTCTAAATCCCAAGACAGAGGAGGCCAGTTGGACCCTCCCTCCTCCCCACCCGGGCGCTAAGGAGACAAACATCCCAGACCCAGTGTCCTCGGCCCAGGGCGGCTGGCACAGCTGAAGCGGTCAGGGCGTCTCCAAACCCTTCCACCGTCTGATGCTTCTGTGGCCCAAGTAACGGCCAGGACAAGTAGAACGCCTTCCAGATAAGCCCACACAACCCCTCGCAGCCTTTAAAGAGCAGAGCAGAGCAGAGCAGAGGGCGGGGAGGAAGGGGGACGGGGCTGCCAGGCCCGGGCAGGCGCTCACCCAGGATGGCGGCGGCCTGCAGGGAGCACTTTTCCGAGCGCACTTGCGTGATGAGCTCTTGCACGTCGGGCAGGTCCTGCAACGACCCAGAGCGCACGCACTCAGCAGCGGCCCGAGGCCCCGACTCACCCGAGCTGAGGCCCAGGGGCTGTCACGGGACCGCACGCCTTCTCAGCACTTCTCCCTATTCAGGAACACGAACCCAGCCTGCTTCGAACGGGTGAAGACCCGGCGCCTGGGACAGTCCACGACACCACGACTGAAATCCACCACCGCCAGCTGCTTTTCTAAGCAGTCTGTGTCCCTGCTGATTTAACGCCCAGGAACACCGAGGTCCCCGCGAGCGAAGGACGGGGAGGTCACAGTCACCGTCACACTCGCAACAGCAGCAGCGCTGGGCTTCAGAACCGGGGCTGAGCCCGAGCCGCGGCCTGACAGAAACGACCTCACAAGGCCCGGCCATCCCAGACGCCTGCATGCCCCCGTCTGCCCCTCTTCCTCCCGGAACCCTGGGCACCCAAGGCCCAACAGGTGTTTGTAAAACGCCACTCTTCTCCCTGCGACGGGCACAGCACGCCGCCTGCTGCAGCCCACAGGCCGCCCCTCTGGGTGCTGCACGCGCCCTCCTCCCCCCTAACTGCCCTTGCGTCTGGCATCTAGACTTCTTTGTCTTCACGCCCGGCTCCTGAGTGCAAGTCTTGCTCTCTGAAGACAGAAACCAGGTCCGCTCGTTCTCCTTCCCACGGCCACACAGAAGAGCTCTGACAGAAGAGCTGTGCGCGTGGACTTGTGATGACTTTCATCACAGGGACTGGTCTGCTCTTCTACCGTCTGTCCTTATAAAACACAACTGGATTCTTTGGCCCAGCCCGTGTTTTAATAAGCTCGCATCATGATAGCAGGACACAGCTTCGGCAGCTCGCTGACATCAACAGCAGTAAAATCAAGCGAGCCCCGAGAGCGGCCCAGTGCTGCATGCGCTCCCCGGGCCGGCACACACGCCTGCACGCTGGGGTGCGGTGAGGCTGCAGACGCTAACTCCGGCGCTGCGAGGGGGTCTGCTTCCTCAGCGGCTCCCAGCTTCACTGCGGCCAGACTCCCTGCGGGGCTCTAAAACCCCACCCTGACCAGACTCCCTGGGGGAGGGAAGACCCACATCCCACATACCCACCTTTGGAAACTCTTCCCAGGCAGTTCCAACTGCAGCCAAGTCTGAGAACAGAGCTTTAGGTGTTTTTTTTTTTTTTTTTTTTTTTTTGTCTTTTTTTTTTTGACAGAGTGGACAGTGAGAGGGAGAAAGGTCTTCCTTTGCCGTTGGTTCACCCTCCAATGGCCGCCGCGGCTGACATGCTGCGGCCGGCGCACCACGCTAATCCGATGGCAGGAGCCAGGTGCTTCTCCTGGTCTCCCATGGGGTGCAGGGCCCAAGCACCTGAGCCATCCTCCACTGAACTCCCGGGACACAGCAGAGAGCTGGCCTGGAAGAGGGGCAACCGGGACAGAACCCGGCGCCCCGACCAGGACTAGAATCCGGTGTGCCGGCACCGCAGGCTCTTTTTTTTTTTTAAAGCCAGAGAAATGGCTTTCCTTCCTCGTACTGAAATCTCCCCCAAGCCGGGAACGGCCCAGCGGGTGCCCCCTCCTGCCCCGACCCCACGAGGAGAGCGGCGGCTCACCTTCAGGCTGTTCTTGAAGGCTCCCGCGTCAGCGTGGACCTCGTCCGCGTACTTCAAGACCCGATCGTACAGGACCAGGGCTTCACTCCACTTCTTCACCAGCACATAGGACTGAGCGATGAAGAAGCACCTGGGGGAGGGAGCGGCCACCACCAGGGCGGGCTCTCCTGTACTTCAGGCCAAACTTGACAACCGGAGGCCGGTTCTCAACGCAGGACCACTGCGTGGGAGCCCCTCCCCTTGGCCCTGTCCCCAGAGTCTAGTTCTCCAGGGCCAACCCGGAGCCCCTCCCCAGCAACGGGAGACGACGGCGTGCGTCCAACACGAGCCTCCGTCCACCACTGCCTTGGAAGCAGGGCAGCAGCTGGGGACAGGCACGAGGAACAGCGGCCATATCCAGTCCACTCTCACCTCCCACGGCCACACGTCCCTGCTCAGCAACCCAAACCCAGAGAGGATCCTTCTAGCAAACTGACGGGCACTGCGGGCCCTCGCCAGGAAAGAGGGAGCCGCGTGAGAGAAGATGGGGCCCTGGAGAACCCGAGGCGTGAGGCCTGAGTCAGGAAGAGCAGGTGAGGACGCACGTGCCTCTTCCCCGCCATCTTGTCCAGACCCAATCCGGCTCCACAGCCCACTGGGCTTCATTTAGAAACAGACTACTTTACCCCCAGTCTGGGTGCCCTGAACTAGCTGCTCTGGTTCTGTGAATTAACACCCTTTCCCACACTTGCCCCTTGCCCCCTGGGTGGCGGGTGTGTGTGTGTGTGTGTAGGAGAAAGCTGGATTCGGTCTGTGCCCCGCTGGCCGCCTGGACCGATCCACAGGGCACACAGAGTGCACAGCCAACACGAGAGCCCTCTTGGACACGCAGGCCGTCAGAGTCGGTGCCCAACGACACATTTCCTGGGCCAGGCGCCCGACCTTACAGACCTGCTGGGAGCCAGAAGGAGCCCTGCCCACCCCACGGAATGTTACCTGTAAGCCTTGAACACCAGCGTTTTGAGGCCTATCTCTTTCTGGAAAGCTCTGTCCTCTTCTAAGCCAGGAAGCTGGAGCAGTTCCACCAAGTTCTACAAAAGTTTGTGAAACAATGCCTCAGACAGTTTCTGACAAAAGACCTCATAAAACCAGACACGGGGTGGGGGTGCGTGTGTGTGTAGAGGATGAGCTCAATGACAGGCACTCCGTGATACACGGCTGGAGGCAGCCGCCCCAGCGCCCCCTCTGTCCCTCTGACCCTCACCCCTCTGGGCTCCCGCTGCTGAAGCGCTCCCGGCGGCCCCTCATCTGGACCCCGCTGAGTGCTATGCGGGGGCAACCGTACCGCCAAGCACCCAGCGGGCTGAGCGAGCAGACTCCGCCCTCGGGATGCTCCACGGCACCTGGCGGGAGCAGCTCCCACGGGGCAGTGCTGGGGACAGCGGCGGGCCCACGGCCTCTGCGTGTAACGTGCCTGACTGCCGGGCTCACACAAGGCTTAACCGCCACAGAACCTGGCTCCCAGATGACACAGTGAAGTCCTTCTGCGTCCCCCACAGGCCCTTTGCCTCCGCAGGCCCCCGGGTCACCTGGAGGATGATGTCATAGAGCCGGATCAGGTCCTGGGGCCGCGGGGAGCGCTTGCTGTCGTCTTCCGGCTGCTGCTGCAGCAGGGCCCTCTGCAAACCTTTGGCCATGTTCTCATTCCGCCGGATGGCCGTCGACAGCTTGATGTAGGTCAGGTAGCTGGGAGGGACCACAGCTCAGGTTACTCTCAGGGAAGAGTCTACATTATGAGTCAGGACTGACCTGGGGACGCGAGGGGCGAGGGCACGTCACAGAGCAGGGCCTCAATTTGGCAGGCTCCGGACCTGCTCACACTGATTCGAGCTTGAATCACATCTGCGCATCTTTCAGGAAGAGCCAGAGCGCTGCTCACCTCACAGGACTGTTACCGCGACGGCACAGCGATGGCAAGCCAGCGCCTGGAGCCGGCACCTGTCACCTGCCTGGCCCACACCGAGACGCCACGTTCCTGCTCACCTGATGGCCGTCTCGTCTCAGAAAACACTGCAGCATGCACGGTCTCTCTGGATGACTGCACACACTGTATGGACCAACTGTATACACCAGAGGCGACGCGTGCATGATTCCTATCTTAATTTTATTACCCGTCGTGATGGGGGATAAATACCAAGAGTCTGAGAAGCATTCTGGCCCCCAGGCCCCACCCTACACTGGAGGAGGGTCAGAGGCACCCACAGAAGAGGCCTGTGGACAGAGGACACAAGCCCAGCTGCGGGCAGGGGCTCCACGGCGCACACAGGGGCAAGGGCGCAGTGACGGCCTGGCTGCTACTCTTGGGTTCAGAGCAGCAGCGGCCGTGCAGTCCAGGGGTCTGAGGAGCCCCGAGGAGCCCTTGGGGAAACGCACAGCTGAGCACCTACGGCGAGGCCCCCACCCCACAATCCTGACAGAGTACACAGCTCACAGAAACATCAGACAGACTCTCTCCTTGGACAAGACGTATTTCACAACATTAAAACGACTCTTACCTGTGCAGGTACTGAAGATTAGAAACCTTCCCCGACTCCCCGTCAAGAGTGTAATCTCTCTGTTTCTGTAAAAAACAACACAGCTCATCCTGTCCCGTCCCGGACCACTTCGCTCAGTGCCCTGGACGGACACAGACTCTAGCAGGTTCAGGGTCACAGAGAATGACAGGCTCACTCAGTCACCACGGGCATCTGGAAACTGGCACTCAGAGGCCGACGGAAGCTCCCTGCCCGCTGCCGGCAGTGCCTAGCCTAAAAGCGTTCCAACACCTCAAAGTCCAGGGCTCCGTTTTAGGGTCTGTGCCGCACAGCCAGCTCCCCGTCCTTATGTGCTCGTGCAGAGCTCGCCTTCTGCGGGGGTGCGAGTAGCAGCCCCTGGAGCGCCCACATCCTAACCTCCAGGGGAGAGATTAGCAGTTGTGGCTAAACCGAGGCTCTGCGGATTACCCTGCATCATCCAGGCAGGCCCAATGGAACAAGGTCCTCAGGGGCGGGAGGCTAAAGATGGAGGCCCAGATGCAGGGACAGGAGGCAGCGGCAGGGAGGGACGAGGATGTGAGCTGCCGCTACGAAGGTGCAGGGAGCAGCCACGGCCACAGCCGGCAGGTGCACCTGCGACAGACGCTAGGTCCCAGGGTCTCCAAAGAAACGCGGCCCTGTGAGCCCACTCTGACTTCTGCCCTCCAGCAGTGTGACTGACTGGCACGGTTGAAGCCAGACATCTGTGGTAGCACTGCTGCAGCACAGCAAATGCACCTTCGCATCACGAGTTAAGGCTGGGCGGGGCGGCATCTGCACCAGGCCGGAGTCCAGCCCCCGTGAAGGAGGCCAAGGCTTGCGGGAAGCGTAACCTGTGAGGCAGCCGAACGGGAGGGCGGCACCGCTCGGGGAAAGCAGTGGTGGTGGTGGTGATGGTGTTGTTTTTCACAAAACAGAACAAACACTTTGGGGAACACTCTAAGCTCAAGGTACTCTGGAAGACACTAAAAGAATATCTAAGAGGCTTGTGGGCTTGAGGAAAGTGAACAGCTGAATATCCAACAATAAACAGGATGTTAATGGGCAATAATTCAAGTGACTGTTTAATGGGTGAAGAGTTTTACAAGAGGAAACGAGTTGAGATGGGTGTCGGTGACGGCTGCAGGACAGCCCGAGCAGGCCCCTGGCCTGGAGCCGGAGCCGCTGGCTCAGCCGACGCCCTACCTGGTCTGGCTTGAGTTCTTCCCGAACCGCCTGGACGGCGTCCCGACACTCGCTGAGCATGGATTCAAACAGCCGCTCCTTGGTTTCTTCGCTTTCAGCCTAAAGGAAGGCAGACGAGGGAGTCAGACTTTCTCCCGAGTAAGCCAGCTCGCGCTATCGGCAGGGAGGAGGAGCACGAGGAGCACTGTGATTCCCCATCGCACACCTGCCCGGGCAGAGACCAGAACCGTCCTAACGCACTGCACTGGCCAACGAGATTCTCTTACAGCTTTCCATGCACACCGACACGGACTTGTGCCAACTGCACCTACTAAACAAGCCTACAGGAGCAGGGACTCCACCGGTTTCAGATGTTTAGTTTCTTCTCGGCTCAGTCACTCCCCTTCCATGCTCTGCCTGACTCCTGATGAGGGCTCCCTGCGCCTAGAGGGGCCCTGCAGCCTGCACGTGGGTGGGCACAGCTCCCTGCGCCTAGAGGGGCCCTGCAGCCTGCACGTGGGCACAGCTCCCACACGCCTAGAGGGGGCCTGCAGCCTGCACGTGGGCACGACTCCCTGCACCTAGAGGGGCCCTGAAGCCTGCACGTGGGCACGGCTCCCTGCACCTAGAGGGGCCCTGCAGCCTGCACATGGGCACAGCTCCCTGCACCTAGAGGGGCCCTGCAGCCTGCACGTGGCGTGGCTCCCTGCGCCTAGAGGGGCCCTGCAGCCTGCACGTGGGCACAGCTCCCTGCACCTAGAGGGGCCCTGAAGCCTGCATGTGGCGTGGCTCCCTGCGCCTAGAGGGGCCCTGCAGCCTGCACGTGGGCACAGCTCCCACACGCCTAGAGGGGCCCTGCAGCCTGCACGTGGGCACAGCTCCCACACGCCTAGAGGGGCCCTGCAGCCTGCACGTGGGCACAGCTCCCTAGGCCTAGAGGGGCCCTGCAGCCTGCACGTGGGCACGGCTCCTGCACGCTGAAGCACAGCGTGCCACGAGTTCCCTCCTCCTCCTGCAGAACAGACTCCCAAGCTCCACGGTACAGCAACAGAACCACCTTCACGGATCTAACAACCCGCAGACACGGAATCCTTTCAGATCCAAGCAAGTGATATGACTACGAACAAAGCCCAATCAAAAAGACCTTTCTCCTAAAATCATGGCGTCCTCCTCCCACAGAGACATGCTGCACTCAGATTCCACATGGCCTCCCCTGAGAGCAATTCTGGAGCCCACAAAGTTGACAAGTGTGGGACGACAGACTCCGTGCAAGCCCTGGGCGTCGCCGCTCTGCTGCACAGCTGGGACGAGTGAGAAAGTGACTCATTAACAGAAAACCTGCCAAGCCACATTATCATCCCAAAGAATCTCCCCGAGCAGGTGGGAACGGATGAGAGGCCGAAAGGAGATGAACTTGTGCTACTGGCAGACCCACTGTGAGCCAAAACACCGACGTTCCTTTCTATTTGACTTTCCACAGAAACTAAACATCCAATCTGAAGGAATACCTTGAACACTCACGTGACCTCCAAGATCGCTCAGAGGAAAGATCAGAACTTCCCATTCCTTCAAGAGAATTGGGGGGGCCTTAAAGAAAAGTTTTTTCCTTCTCTTTTTATCTGTAAAAACCATTTATTTATGTATTTATTTGAAAGGCAGAGTTACACAGAGAGAGGGAGAGACAGAGAGAGAAATCTTCCATCTGCTGCTTCACTGGCAGGAGCTTCCTCCGGGTCTCCCACGCGGGTGCAGGGGCCCACAATACTTGGGCCATCTTCCACTGCCCTCCCAGGCCACAGCAAAGAGCTGGATAGGAAGTGGAGCAGCTGGGACTTGAACCAGTGTGCATATGGGATGCCAGCACAGCAGTAGTAGCTTCAACCACTGTGCCACAGTGCCGGCCCTTAACCTTGTCTTAAGAACTCTTTTGGATGGCCAGCGCCACGGCTCACTAGGCTAATCCTCCACCTAGCGGTGCCGGCACACCGGGTTCTAGTCCCGGTCGGGGTGCCGGATTCTGTCCTGGTTGCCCCTCTTCCAGGCCAGCTCTCTGCTGTGGCCCGGGAGTGCAGTGGAGGATGGCCCAAGTGCTTGGGCCCTGCACCTGCATGGGAGACCAGGAGAAGCACCTGGCTCCTGCCTTCGGATCAGTGCAATGTGCTGGCCACAGCATGGCAGCCATTGGAGGGTGAACCAACGGCAAAAAGGAAGACCTTTCTCTCTCTCTCACTATCCACTCTGCCTGTCAAAAAACAAAAACAAAAACAAACCAAAAAAAACTCTTGGAGCCAATGCTGTGGCACAGTGGGTTAAAACCCTGGCCTGCTGTGCCGACATCCCATATGGGTGCCGGTTCGAGACCCGGCTGCTCCACTTCCTGTCCAGCTCTCTGCTATGGCCCGGGAAAGCAGTAGAAGATGGCCCAAGTGCTTGGGCCCCTGCATCCACATGGGACACCAGGAAGAAGCTCCTGGCTCCTGGCTTAAGATGGGCACAGCTCCAGCTGTTGTGGCCATCTGGAGAGTGAACCATCAGATGGAAGACCTCTCTCTCTCTCCCTCTCCCTCTCCTCTCTCTGTGTAACTCTGACTTTCAAATAAATAAATAAATCTTAAAAAAAAAAAAAAAAACTCTTTTGTTTTTCCTAGCTTCCAGGGTGAAAAAAAATCTTGCTCATCAATTACCCAATGTAAACCAAACATATTTTCCACTCTTAAGTAACCTAGGGGCAAATCAGGGGCACAGTCAGCCTGTAAGTCTCCGACAGCCGCCACTAACTCCCTGAGCCACCAGAGCACAGCCAGGAGCCTTCTGCTGAAAGGTTCTCCGTCTGTGCTGTCAGGTGCCAGCACCGCCACATGCGGCCACTGAAGCACGCATAAACAAAAAAACACAGAAGTCTTATTGGAAAGGCAGAGTTAGAGAGATGTACAGACAGAGATTTTCCATCTCTGTATACTCCCCAAAGGGCCGCAACAGCTGGAGCTGGGCCAAACTGAAGCCAGGAGCCAGGAGCTTCTTCTGGGTCTTCCACGTGGGTGCAGGGGCCCAGGCACCGGGCCACCTTCCGCTGCTCTGCTGGTGTTATCAGCAGGGAGCTGGATCAGAAGTGGAGCAGCTGGGACTTGAACCAGCACACATAGGGGATGCCAAGGCTACAGGCAGTGGCTTACCCTGCTATGCCGCAGCACCAGCCCATGAAATGTCTGTTAATTTAAACAGCCGTGTACGTCGAGTGGCTACAATCCTGGACAGTGCAGTGCTACAGAAACAACGTGCAAGAACACTGTGCGGCACGCCAAGCCGGCAAGATTCCTCAAGGTCTTCCAGCGCACAGAGCCTCTGGAAGGGCTCAACTGTGTGACACTCAACTGCAACATGCTACGTGGACAGACTCGGCCCTGTTTAAGAAACCCACCAACCACCCACACACACCAGGCCACAGCAGGAGCAGGAAGGATGATCCACCGCACCCACAGCCCAGCAAATATGCCACCAACACCCTTTCTCAGCAGGTGGGGTTCAGTAGCCGGGGCAATGGGCGTAGAAGAAAAGAGCTGGTTTCGTTTTACCAGCTACACAGGATCTGATCCTTTCCTGCAGGTAGGCTATGGTTCAAATTAAAACATTAAATGGTGCTATGATGCTATACTTCTTAATCGTCATACGTGATCCTCATGCCTTTGACTAAGTAAGCAAACCCCTGTATCAATGTGCTGATTACAGCAAACTCTCCCAGGGCTCCCACAAAAACTCCTTAAGTCTTAACGGGGAAGAAAAAGCGTATCTAAAGGCAAAGATTTAATTGTGCTTTTCTTTCAATGCCCACACTGCACAGTGACTAAGAGACCACTAATTCCTGAGGAAGACCTCATGATTCTCCCTGGGCAAAGCCAAATGTCTCCCAACAGGAAGTCTTTAATGCATTTTGTACTTACACTTTCATCCTATAAACCCATACGTGAAGCCAAGATAATTCCTGAAAGAACAATGGAACGAGACACGCCTCTCCACACGCAGAGACAAGTCTCCTTTCCGCCTCACGCCGACCTTCCACGTCTGCCTGAACGCGGAAGAATCCAAACACAAGTGGCAAACTCCTGCCCAAGAACGAGTGGTCTGGCAGCACCTTCTCCCAGGTGTGCCTCTGACACAGAAATCCTAAGTCCAGAAGTAACTGCTCCAGTTGGTCCTAATAAATTCTAATTCCACATAAATTTTGATGCAACTTGAAACCTGCAGGATGTGCCTGTCTCCAGCCTCAGGTTGCCTCTTCAGACAGCGTCTCCACACTGACTGGCACACGGCAACTCAGCCGCTGTGGGCCTGAGGCAGAGCCCCTGCCGCTACAGATCCCCAGAGAACCGCCACTGGTCTGCGAAGTTGCCAGAGGTGGTGGTGTGAGTAGGAGACACACAAGGCGAGTCTGACCACATTCCCCAACGCACCCACTGAAGAACCATGGGGACAGGAACCGAGCCTCATCCAGCCCAGGGAGGGCTAGCAAAAAACACGGAAATCTGGTAGAGAAGGAAACAAACCATTACAAATAGACACTCTTATTTAAAAGATTTAGTTATGTATTCATTTGAAAGGCACAGCGACAGACAAGAATAGACGTCTTCCATGTTAGCTCACTCCTCAAATGCCTGCCACAGCTGAGGTTGGGCTAGGCTGAAGCCAGGAACCCAGAACTCCATCCTGGTCTCTCATGTGGGCGGCAGGAACCCAAGCACCTTGGTCAGCATCTTCTGCCTCCCAGGATGCAATCTGCTAGCGGGAAGCTGGATTAGAAGCAGAGCAGCTAGGACTTGGACCCAAGCACCTTAGTTTGGGACGTGGATGTCCCTGGTGGCAGCTAACTTGCGGTGTCACAATGCCTGCCCCAATTTTGTTTTCAATTCTAAGAAAGTTTTATTTTTCAAAAATTTATTAATATCAATAAGCAATCATTTCCCATGTACCTGGGAGTATATGTTATAACCACAAATACAGACACACACACACTTGTGTGTGATTTTCTTTTTTTCAAAGAAAAGCATAAGGGGCTGGTGCTGGAGCGTATAGGCTGGGCCTCTGCCTGGGGTACTGGCATCCCATACGGGCACCAGTTTGAGTTGTGGCTGATCCATCTCCAACCAAGCTCCCTGCTGGTGGCCTGGGAAACACAGTGGAGGATGGCCCAGGTGCTTGGGCCCCTTCACCCATGTGGGAGACCCAGAGGAAGCTACTGACTCGTGGCTCCAACTGGCCCAGCTGTGGTCACTGCAGCCATTTGGGGAGTGAACCAGCAAATGGAAGACCTCTCTCTCTGTCTCTCCTTTCCTCCCTAACTTTGCCTCTCAAATAAATAAATCTTAAAAGAAAAACAAAAAAGCACAAATGGTCTCTCTTCTACCCAGACATTAAAATCATAACTATAACTTGAGATAAGAATCATCAAACTTGCAAATGCTTAAAACAAGTCCTCCAGATAAAAGAGCTATTGAAAAATTTCCTCGTGGGGGTAGGTGCTGTGGGCAGCAGGTTCAGCCCCTCCTTGGGACACCCATGTCCTGTGCCAGGTGCCTGGTCTGAGTCTCAGCTGCTTCACTTCCAACCCAGCTTCCTGCTAACGCACCTGGGAAGAGCAGACGACGGCCCAAGTGTCTGGGCCCCTGCCACCCATGTGGGAGACCCAGAAGGAATTCCAAGCTCCTGGCTTCAGCCTGGCGCAGTCTGGTAAGTGAACCAGTGGATGGACCTACCTCTCCCCACAACCTTCTGCCTGAAACTCTGCCTTTCAAATAAATAAAATAATCTTCAATTAAAAAAAAAAAAAGAAATAAAGTAAGGCAATATTAAGGATGTGAAGACTTAAAGCTTAGCTAAAGAGACCAAGGATTTTGCAACTGGATTTTGGTGGCTGATTTACTTTGTCTAAAATCTTTGCAGTGTCATACTCTGAATTGTTTCTTCTTTATGCTTTTCAGTATTGTTTTAATATTTAAGCAGCAAGAAAATCCCTACAAGCAAGCAGTAAGTTAAGACTGGTAAACTCTTTAACCGAGTTCTTAGAGGGTGGCAAACACTAATACCAAGTGGGTTAAGAGAACTGAAATCCAGCACCTTGCGTGGTGTATTTCTTGACTTCTAGGACACAGAGGCACTCCGTAAGAGCCGGGCAGGGGGTACCCGTGTTACACCGCCAGCCAAGGACTCTCCAGTGGCACCAAGGGGATTACCTTCAACTGCTCAATGGGCATTCTTACTTTTCTTTTTTTTTTAAAGATTTATTTATTTATTTGAAAGTCAGAGTTACACACAGGCAGAGGCGAAGGGGGGGGGGGGAGACAGAGAGGTCTTCTATCCACTGGTTCACTCCCTAAATGGTTCCAATGGCTGGAGCTGCACCAATCGGAAGCCAGGAGCCAGGAGCTTCTTCCAGTCTCCCACACAGGTGCAGGGCCCAAGGACTTGGGTCATCTTCCACTGCTTTCCCAGGCCATAGCAGAGAGCTGGACTGGGACCAGAGCAGCTGGGACTTGAACTGGCGCCCATATAGGATGCCGGCACTGCAGGCAGTGGCTTCACCCATAAAGCCACAGTGCCAACCCCGATTTTTACCTTTTTAACCCAGTTTTGGGACCAGCACTGTGGCGCCACAGGTTAAGCCATCTACCCACTGCCTGTGATGCTGGCATCCCCTTATGGACACCAGTTCAAGTCCTGGCTTCTCTGCTCCCAATCCAGCTTCCTGATAATTCACCCGGGAAGACAACAGAGGTGGTCCAGTACTTAGGCCCGCACCACCCACATGGGAGACACAGATGGAGTTCCCGGCTGTTGGCCTCACCACTGCCCAGTCCAGCCCTTGTTGCCATTTGCAGAGTGAACCAGTAGATGGAAGGTCTCTCTCTTTTTCTCTCTCTGTAACTCTGCCTTCCAAATAACTCTCTCCCTTTCTCTCTTTGTCACTCTGCCTTTAAATAAGTAAATTAATTAAGAAAAAAAAAAAAGGAAAGGAAAGAAAATCAGAAAAAAGCCTGGATGCCTAGGGTGGGGCTTTGGCTTTTGGTCAAGACGCCCGTGTGCACACTGGACGGCCTGGTTTCAACACCTGCCTCTAGCTCCGGACTGCGGCCCCTGCTTGTGCATTCCTGGAAGGAGGTGACAGCTCCAGTAACTGGGCTGCTGCCACCCATGTGGGAGACCTGAACTGAGCTCCTTCCCAGCCCTGGCCAGGCTGTCGGCATGTGAGGACGGAACCAAATGGGAACTCTCTCTTCCTGTGTGTCTCTCAGAATTAAAAAACAAAACAAAATGAAACAACAGTTTGGATGCTCAACAACTCGTCAACACAGCAGAGAGCAGCCCTCCACTCCCAGCACAAAGCATTCAGATCAGCGCGGCCTGTGAAACCCCACCTGGCCCCTGGCAGGAGCACGGCGGCAGCCTGCTTTGTTTCTTTTAAAGCTCCGCTTTGCAGAGGGGGGGAACCTTGTATCTGCCATACGAAATTATCACCTTAAAAACCAGCCTGCTGTAGATGAAATCTCGTGTCCCACCTGTGGCTGCCCGTGTCAGAGGGCGGCATCCTCTTGAGTGCTTTACCGCTGCCTACTTCGAGCAAACCCCGACCTCCAGGTTCTCTTATCTTTCGAGATGCATCTGGCTGTTCACGCTCACAAACACGTAATTATGTCCTAAGTAGCAATTTTCATGAATATTACATGTACACCGGACGCAAAACAAGATATTCTGGTTTCACTAGGCTCTTCTGAAAACGCCCAGATACGAGAGGTGATCCCTCGAGGGCTACAAGGCTAGCAAGCAGGAGACAGGACAGCTAAGCTGCGGCACCACCTGCTGGCCCACACGCGATCCCTGTGCTCAGCCTGCCTCTGGCTGCTCCCATGTTCACTCCAACATCGCCATCACCTTCTTTGCCCTCAACCGAACTCCTCCATGAAAACAGATGCAAGAATCCTTACCACAGTAACAAATCAAATCTAGCAGGATATAAAAGCATAATAGACAGAAGCAAGTGGAGTCACCCCAGATGCCCAAAGGCTGGCTTAACAGAGCATTAATTCATGAAATCCTGTCAACAGGCCCCTCTACAGGCTGTTTTAACAACTGGTGCCTCTCCAGACTTACCATCTCCCAAAGAGCCTGAAGATTAACTTTTGTGTCGAGAGAAAGAAACAACAAGGAAACACTAGAGCAGAAACAGAGAAACCGGCCAGCCGAGGGCCTCCTCACCTGGGCGATGGCCGCCTCGTTATCAGCCAGGCCCAGCAAGAAGATCCTCACTTTGTCGATCTTCACAGGGACTGTCCTTCCTCTCCACTCCACCTCACTCATCGTGGCTGCCTGCTTGGCCCGCGTCTGAGTGATCAGCGCCTGGAAAGCGGTGGAACACAGTGAAAGTCTGAACTGTGGATGAGTGACGGGGGTGGAACCACACGGAGCCGATCGTCTCCAACACACCACGCCCCTCACCAGTGAAGGAGACGCAAACTCTACGCACTTTAAATTCCTCCCTGGAAATACCCATCCCAGCTATGGAAGCTCTTCTTACTTTTTCCATGAATCTGTATTAGTTGCTTAGAAAACAGATATAATGGGGGTAAAACTGCTTACAGTACTAACTGGAAAAGTTGTCTGCTGAAACGACAGACGTAAGTATGTGTTGTTAGTGTCACTATCCCTGGGGGGTGGGATTATGAATTACTCCTGGACTTTTTCAAACCAAAGACTTTTCTCAAAACTGTGCACACTGGATTACCTCCAATTTTTCAGCCAAGAGACCCTCGGTGCCACCAGACCTCAATCTCATCTGCATCAGTTCATTGATCGCTGACTGGTCCCCTGGGGGAGGGGGAGAGGGCAATCTTCAAAGTCAGGTTCATTTCCACAACATCGGACTCAGACTTAACAGAGCCTTCCCGCTCCCACAGTGCCTTTCTTTTTTTTTTTCTTTTTTAAGATTTTATTTATTTATTTGAGACATAGTTATAGAGAGAGAGCGGGAGAGACAGAGAGAAAGGTCTTCCATTCCCAGTTCACTCCCCATGTGGCTCCAAAGCAGAGCTGGGCTGATCTCAAGCCAAGAGCCAGGAGTTTCTTCCAGGTCTCCCACGTGGGAGCAGGGGCCCAAGGACTTGGGCCATCTTCTGCTGCTTTCCCAGCCCATAGCAGAGAGCTGGGCCGGAAGAGGAGCAGCCAGGACTTGAACCCGTGCCCATATGGCATGTTGGCACTGTGGGTGGAAGCTTAGCTTACTACGCCACAGTGTCAGACCCATGCATTTCTTTCTTTCTTTCTTTTTTTTTGACAGGCAGAGTAGACAAGAGAGAAAGGTCTTCCTTTGCCGTTGGTTCACCCTCCAATGGCCGCCGCGGCTGGCATGCTGCGGCTGGCGCACCGCACTGATCTGATGGCAGGAGCCAGGTGTTTATCCTGGTCTCCCATGGGGTGCAGGGCCCAAGCACTTGGGCCATCCTCCACTGCACTCCTGGGCCACAGCAGAGAGCTGGCCTGGAAGAGGGGCAACTGGGACAGAATCTGGCGCCCCCACCAGGACTAGAATCCAGTGTGCTGGTGCTGCAAGGCGGAGGATTAGCCTAGTGAGCTGCGGTGCCGGCCCATGCATTTCTTTTTTAAAGATTAATTATTTGAAAGGCAGAGGGACAGAGAAAGACAGGGAAAGACAAAGACATTCCATCTGCCAGTTCACTCCCCAAATAGCCACCAACAGCCAGGGATGGGCCAGGCCAACGCCAGGAGCTAGGAATTCCACCTAGGTCTCTCCCATGGTGGCAGAGGGAAAAACACTTGGGCCATCATCCGTGGCCTTCCCAGGCACATCGGCAGGGCGCTGGACCAGAAGCAGAGCAGCAGGGACTGCAGCGACCCCCGTCTCAAGCTGTGGCAGCACCACAGAGGCGGCCCTACGAGCACATTCCTATATATCTGCAGAGATCTGTCCTCTGAAAGCAAGTCCTTCTGCAAAGAATGGCCGTGGCTGACGCAGTAAAAATACTCCTCGTGGCACTATAAGGCTGGATGCAGGTCACTGTATATATAACGTATATAACGTGCAACACCAAGAGTGGACCTTAATGTAACTATGGACCTTGAGGGATGACGCTGTGTGGATGCAGTTAATGAACTGCACAAATGTGCCCCTCTGGTGAGCGATGCTGGTGACCGGGAGGCTAGGCTGGTGGCAGGGCAGGAGTACCTGGGAAATCTCTACCTCTCGGCTCTGCTGTGATCCTAAACTGCTCTGAAAAAGCAAGACAGCGACTTGGCTGGAGACTTTGGACTGCTCCTGGGGTGTACAGGAGACGGCAGAATGGAATCAAAGTAAAGGAATTCTGAGCAGGGCTTTTAGACAATTCTAATTTTGTCATCAACCAAAACTCAGGCCAAGTTGGATGCAAGGGCAGGGGCAGAAAGTTAGATTACGTCTCCAGGCTCTGAGGTGAGCTCCTGCAAGCCACCAGTTGACGCTACGATGGCAGCAATGCCTCGGGCCCTGCTCACCAATGTTGTAGGCACAGTAGCGGATGTTGGGCGAGATCTCCTCCACTCGCTGGTTGTACAGCACAGCCTGCTCCTCTGTGAAGGCACTCGCCAGCCTCTCATAGATCGTTCTGCAAGGGAAAACAGCAGGTTTTACAGCAGTCTTGTTTTTAAGAAAATAAACGCACAAGGAATACAGTGGCTAAAAAACCCACAGCTCTCTTGGGGCTGGCGCTGTGGTGTGCCATGTAGAGCTGCTGCCTGAAGCGCCAGCATCCCTGTGGGCCGCAGTCTGAGTCCAGCTATTCTGCTTCTGACCCGGCTCCCTGCTAATGCGCCCAGGAAAGCGGCGGAAGATGCCTCAAGTGGGTGGGTCCCTGCACCCTCATGGAAGACCTGGAAGAAGCTCGTGGTTCCTGGCTTTGGCCTGGCCCAGCCCTGGCTGTTGCAGGTTGGTTCACCTGGGGAGGGAACCAGTGGATGGAAGATCTTTCTGTGTCTCCCTCTGCCTCTTCTTCTCTTTAACTCTTTCAAATACATAAGTAAATCTTTAAGAATAAATAAACACAGCTCTCTGAAGTTCTTCTAACTCTCAGAACTGACATGTCTTAAGAGAATAAGCACCATTTCTTTTCTTTTTTTCTCCCTCATCCCCTTTTTGGAAAAGCAGGAGACAGGGAGAAATCTCATCCACTGGTTCATTCCCCAAATGCTCATCACATTAGGGGCTGAGCTGAGGCAGAAGCCAGAGCCGGGAATGCAGGTCTCACTGCAGGTGGAGGAATCAGCTACATGAGGCCTCACTGCTGCCTCCCAGGGTCTGCACTAGCAGGACGCTGGAGTCAAGAGCCAGAGCCAGGAACTGAACCCAGGCACTCCATGGTAGAATACTGCTATGCCAAACACCTGCCCTCAACATTTCTACAGGAGAAAATACCCGTCCTTTCACAGGAACAAGTCAATAGCTGACCTACAACTTGACTCTGACAACAACCAAAACTGCTCACGGCTTTGGACCAGAGGACTTACTTGCACTTGTTAAAAGCCTCAATGGCAGCCTTCCATTCCTGATGCTCAAAACGCAGCATTCCCGAGAGGTAAGCGGTGTAGGCCTGCGGGGAAGCAAACCCACGTCAGCGCCGAACGCCAGTGCGCCGTCTGGCTCCGTCTTCCCTGCTGGCTTCTAACTGAGAGCCAGAATATGGAGATACTCAGGTTGATTTTTTTAAAAAATGTATTTAACTAGTGAAATGCAACAGACAGGTAATTTATTATAATTACTTTACTTCCCAGGAAGGAAGTTCAAAATAAAGGAAGTGTGTTTTCTTACTTTTGCTTCACCAAAAAAATGAAAAACAAACAAAAACTATAGACAAATCCAAAATAAAAACAAAACCAAAACCTGACCGAAACACTCTTTTACCTTGTGAACTTTCCCAGGTCCATGGTGCAAGCTTCCCATCTACGCATCAAGGGAAGCATGACCTTTCTTGCAAATTTAATAATAAGAAACTAGGAGCTCACAGAGACGCTATGTTCACTTTTTAAAGCAAGATCAGGGAGCGTTTTTCCTCTCTTGGCTATCAACTGGTAACGCAGGACCTGCTCTGCCGGACGGTGGCTTTGTAAGAAGCCCACCCGTGATCTCCACGGTGCACACGGCCGGGGGCTCAGACACTGACCTGCGCCTCTAACTTGGTCTTGGCATCCACGCGGCTGCTCTCACACAAGCGCTCCAGCTCCTCCGCGTGCTTCACCGCTTTGCGCAGTCGAGACAGCAAATGGAACCGCTTCCGGGGCTCCGTGTTGGCTTCCTGTTTGAGCTGCATGGCATAGCTCCAGGCTCGTTCGGCATCCATCAGGACCAGAAGCAGGTACCTAGACCGGAAGAGAGGTGGGAATGAGCGACACAGGCCAGCAGCAGAGGTCCGGTTCTGGCTCTTTTTCTTTTTGTGAATATTTACTTGCTTATTTATTTGAAAGGCAGAGACGGGGGGGCGGGGTGAGGGGAGGAGGGAGAGAGGAAGGGAGGGAGAGAGAGGAGAGAGGTAACTTCCATCTGCTCGCTCACTCTCCAAATGGCTGCAACGGCCGAGGCTGGGCCAGGCTGAAGCCGGGAGCCTGGGACTCCATCGGGGTCTCCCACGTGGGTGGCAGGGTCCCAAGCACTTGGGCCGTCTCCCACATGCATTAGCAGGGAGGTGGACAGGAACCAGAGCAGCTGGGACTCGAACTGGTGGTCATATGGGATGCTGGCAGCGTCACAGACAACAGCTTAACCCACTGAGCCACAACACCAGTCCCTCAGCTTGTCTCTACACCTCTCTCCCTCTCCAACTTCAGCACCAGTCTTCCCCAGCATCAGCCATGAATCCCAAATCAGCATCTCTGGTTTCTGCTCCAACTCCACTCCCGGTTTCTGACCCCCACTAGACGCGTCTCACTGAAAAGGCTCTGCCACCGCGATGCAGCAGCCCAGAACCTTGACCTACCCCTCCGAGATGATGTCCCACAGAGGCAGCATTATCTGGCCTCTGTGAACAAACACCTCTGCCATCCCAACCCACGCAGAAACCAAGTCCTCAAGAGGCAGAATCCAGGAGCCATAATGAACAAAGGTTGTGGGGCTGGGTGGGACCCCAGTGCCATCACTTCCTAGCTGTGTGATTTCAGACTCCTAACCTCTGGGCCTCACTCACCGTGGAGCACCACTCACCACACACCTGGGCCCGGCCCTGGCACTCAGTGCCCAGTAAAGGAGCCACGTGATTTCCTGGTGCATCTTTATTCACACTCCTGCCTTCATTAACCTTCCTCTGTCTCCAAAATAAAAGACCCTGTTACCCCTGTTATCTTAAGACAGTTCAGACCTCTTTACTAACTTTTGTACCACCCTAACTGAACTCACTGACGTAACACCACCCCCTGCTACACCCGGGAGTCTCCACGCTCCAGTCTTCTGCGCCTGAGTAGCAGCTAAGACTGCCCAGAGCTCTCCAGCTCCTGGCCTGCACTCGGACACCCCGGCACACTGTCTCCCCCACACAGGACGGCTCTTTCCTCTCAAAGCCTTCTAGGTCAGGCCTCCTCCCGGCAGACTCACTCACTTCCCTGTCAAGCACCCAGAGGTGCTTCCAAGAGGTCAGGATGATGAGCAGCGAAGGCCGCCACCCATCAGGGCACTTTGTTACTGTGAACTGGTTCCTGGGTTGCATCTGACAGGCATCCCTCAGCAATGTCGCAGTCAACGAGGTTCAAGAACTGGGCTGTTTCTCTCTCTAACGTGGCATCCAGCTCAGCCCCGGCTACACACTGGACCACGAAGCAGCACATCTTTTTTTAATGAAGCACCCAATGGTACATATTTTAGGTTCTGCAAGCCATACGGTCTCTATCACAACATACAAAAGCAGCTGTCAACAAAACCTCAATGAATGGATGTGACCATATTCCAATAAATCATTATTTACACAAATAATTCAACTGGTCCAAACTGAAGTTTGAGGATCTGACGTGGAGGCTTTCAATGCGTGTTGTAATCCTTCAGCAAATGTTACGCACGGGTACAGTAAACACCGAGTCCAGAACTCTTCTGTAATAGCTTACACACAGCCAGATGTCATTAAGATACATGGGTTTGGCCGGCGCCGCGGCTCACTAGGCTAATCCTCCGTCTTGTGGCGCCGGCACACCGGGTTCTAGTCCCGGTCGGGGCGCCGGATTCTGTCCCGGTTGCCCCTCTTCCAGGCCAGCTCTCTGCTGTGGCCGGGAGTGCAGTGGAGGATGGCCCAAGTGCTTGGGCCCTGCACCCCATGGGAGACCAGGATAAGTACCTGGCTCCTGCCATCGGATCAGCGCGGTACGCTGGCCACAGCGCGCTGGCCGTGGCGGCCATTGGAGGGTGAACCAACGGCAAAAGGAAGACCTTTCTCTCTGTCTCTCTCTCTCTCACTGTCCACTCTGCCTGTCAAAAAAAAAAAAAAAAAAGGCCGGCGCCGTGGCTCAATAGGCTAATCCTCCACCTTGCGGCGCCGGCACACCGGGTTCTAGTCCCGGTCGGGGCGCCGGATTCTGTCCCGGTTGCCCCTCTTCCAGGCCAGCTCTCTGCTATGGCCAGGGAGTGCAATGGAGGATGGCCCAGGTGCTTGGGCCCTGCACCCCATGGGAGACCAGGAAAAGCACCTGGATCCTGCCATCGGATCAGCGTGGTGCGCCGGCTGCAGCGGCAGCCATTGGAGGGTGAACCAACGGCAAAGGAAGACCTTTCTCTCTGTCTCTCTCTCTCACTGTCCACTCTGCCTGTCAAAAAACAGGCATAAATAGAGATACATGGATTTACGCCCCAGACACTGAAATGTGCGTTCTAGAAACCTTACCTGGTAACCGATTAGATTCCAGTCACTGACTTTCCCTTCCCCACCCACTGCGGCTCCTGAATACGCTACAGAAACTCTCTGCACCTCACTCCCCTCGCTCTAGAGCCTAAGAACAGTAAAATGCCCATCGCAGCAGAGGAGGAGACGCGGCGCAGGGACAGCGCCCCGGGACTCCGCACACGGGGCGGCAGGGTCTCTGCAGCGCCAGCACTGAGCAGTCAGTACCTGTTATCAGTCAGAAGGTCTTCAGTCACTTTCTTCCCCGTGAATTTGTGTCTGTTGCCCATCTTGAAGTTGAGTGTTTTCCGGAGACGTCTCTGTCTTCGGGAACAGTAGCCCCTGTAAGAAACCGTAAACAAAACCCATTCAGCCAAGCTGGTAATACTGAGCGGTAAGTTCCGAACGAGGCAAGGTCAAAGGTTCAGGTACTCCATCTACGTTACCACTATCACACACCTCCTGAAAACTGAGGCTCGTGGGGCTAGAGGACGTCAGGAGACACTAAGACCCCGATGCGCCCCCTTCTCCAGGGCCCACTCTGCCTGGGCAGGGTAAAAGGCCACCAAGGAGACAGCGGATGTCGCGCTGCCTGCTGGAGCGCACCGGCAGCAGGACTCTGGTGGACGTGAAGAGGTGGCCTTGAGGAGCCCGGTGACAGGGGAGGCGTGGCAAGGAGTTCCAGCACATGTGATGTGTGTGATGGCACTCGAGGCGGCCAGGGAGGCTGTCACCGTCACCTGCACGCCACGCCACGCCTCCCTCCTGTGTTCAGGCAGCACTTCAGTCAGCGTGCATGGCTTTGTAATCACACGAATACAAACCCCTGCAGCGCAGGGAGGACTTTATTTTTAAATCACCTTTCATTAGCTTAGTGTGGTGCCTAGCAATAAAAAATCTCTCTCCCTCTCTCTATGTGTGTGTGCATACACACACACAAATCAGTGTAAAAATTAATTTCCACCAACCCTTTAAATGAAAATAATACATAATTTATAATTTAAAATGACTTTAAAAAAAAATGTGTCCTAGGGGCCAGCACTGTGGCATAGCGGGTGAAGCCGCCACCTGCAGTGCTAGCATCCCATATGGGCGTCGGTTCTGGTCCCGGCTGCTCCATTTCCGATCCAGCTCTCTGCTGTGGCCTGGGAGAGCAGTGGAATCCTTTGGATCGGCTCAGCTCCGGCTGTTGCAGCCATTTGGGGAGTGAACCAATGGATGGAAGACCTCTCTCTCTCTCTGCCTCTCTGTAACTCTGCCTTTCAAATAAATAAATAAATCTTAAAAAAAGTAATCAGAAATAGAGGTGTGAACAGAGATTCACAGGATCAAAAAATTCAAGCCTACAAAAGTGGCTACCATAAAGTAACCAACTTGGCGGAAGAGGTAAATAAATTGTGGTATATACTGGATTTTAAGGCAATTAATAAAAAGCACACATATGGAACATTTTTGTAGGGACTGGGAAATATATGTATACAATATAATGTACAGCAAAAAGGGACACAAACCAGCACATTAACAGTGCATTCCTGTGTAACAACTTTTGTTCCCTCGTTATCTGACTTAGGCACAGTAATTAGGCGCTAACCTAAACAAGAGAAAAGTAGGTTAAGACACAAAAATCCAAGACAAGACCATCCATTATGAACTTCAAACAGGAAAGTGCTTCAACAAATTAAGGAGCACCACTCTTAGCTAACAGCCACAGCATGCAGTGAGGCGAAACATCAACAAAAAGTCCGTAAAGCACGAGCCGCGTCCACGCTATGTCCATTCTGCCAGGACACGGACGCACACGTGCACCACACATACTCAGAAAAACCTTCCTCTGGGCATTTCACTTCCATCTCTGCATCTGTGTTTCAAATTCTCAATAATTAAACATCAGACCCTTTCAAGGCCCCCTGTCACACACAGATTCACACCTGAACCTGTCCCCTGGCCTGCAGGGCCCTGCACCTGCTGGCCCTGCGACCTGAGTGCAATGCACACCACTCCCCATCTTGCGCACGCGGCCTGGCACTGCCGACCCCCCCCCCCCCCCCAGGGCTGAGTCCTCGGCCTGCAGGCCCCACCTAAACGCCGCTCCTGCCCCACCCCAAACCTAACTCCCGTTCACGGGCATGCTTCTCTAATCTCCACAGCCTGACATTTGTGCTCTGATGATTTGCTTTCTTGGTAAATCCCCTGAGACTGAGACTCTGCCCCGGCCGATGCTGTGGCGCAGCGGGTTAAAGCCCGGCCTGCAGCGCCGGCATCCCATGTGGGCAGCGGTTCAAGTCCGGCTGCTCCACTTCTGACCCAGCTCTCTGCAGTACTTTCTAACATCAGGCAGTCAACGCTCATAATGCCCGCAACGCAGAAGTCGTTGGATATTTCTACTTTCAAGCAATGAACTGTATGACACACGAGGCATCTGTTCTACTTATTAATCGTATCAATTTGTTTTTCAATTTGAATACTGTCATAAAAGTTGACCATCAGGGGCCAGTGCTGTGGCGAAGGAGGCTGTGTCCCTGCGGGCAGTGCCGGCATCCCATCTGGGTCCCGGCTGCTCCACTTCCGATCCAGCTCCCTGCTGTGGCCTGGGTGAGCAGCAGAGGATGGCCCACATGCTTGGGCCTCTGCCACCCTTGAGGGAGACCTGGAAGCAGCTCCAGGCTCCTGGCTTCAGCCTGGCCCGGCTGTTGCGGCCATCTGGGGAGTGAACCAGTGGATGGAAGACCTCCGTCTCTCCCTCCCTCCAACTCTGTCAAATAAATAGACAAATCTTTAAAAAAAAAAAAAAAATCTACCTTTTCTGTATTCAATACAAACCCAGTGTCAGACTTCCCAGGCACACTTGTAAGATACCAACAAGGGCCATCTGGTGGGGAAACGCCGTGACCCCCGCCACGTGGGGCGGGACACTGACCTGTACCTCTGGAAGTCCCCATGCCGTAAGCCGTGCTGCTGCTGGGACTCCTTGATGATCTGAAGGACTGGGGCCACGATTCAGGAAAACCGACCACGGCAGGCATCCACGTCACAGCCGGCACCGCCAGCGCCCATCTGCGTCAGCCGGCTGGGAAAGCCGCCGGGCGGCCACAGCTCTGCTCCAGGCGTCCCCAACAGCCGGCTCGCTGGAAGCGGGCTGAGCCGACAGAGGAGCTGCCTGCACGGTTAGACCCTCAAACGGGAAAGCCGGGCAGTGCGCAGGGGCCCCTGAAGCCCAACCTTCCAAGCAAGGCTGCGGGTCCCAAATGCTACCACCATGAGGACGGCTCCCAGCGCACGCCTGGACCCCCCACTGTACCCCGACTAAGAGTGACGTGTGCTACTACCGTATTTGCATAACCCCCGGCACCTGCCAAATCGAAGCTTCCTTCACAGCTGTGGCGCCTGCAGGACGGGCCAGCCGCACGCACGCGCAAACACGGAGGGCTTCCTTTGAAAGGAAGAGCCCGCGCTTTCCAGGAATCTTAGAACAGCCCCGGGATGCGGTGCCACGCTTCATAAAGCCCACCGACCTCTGTCTACCATCTGACTTTTCCGTATGCTTCCTCCACACTTCTCCATCGGTGTTATTTCGCAACACGCACACTCAGAGTAAACCCCTCCGTCCCTGGCTGTGCGCCTCCAAGGGACACACACGACGCAGACGCACTGAACGGAGAGGCTGCACACGAATCCGCCCCCAGCGACATGCGACCCCCCCGCCCGCTCCGGAAAAGGACGCAAATGCTACTAAGCGACAGTGATTGACACTCCAAGCGGCGCTTTTTCGGCACCGGGCCGCGGGGGCGGGGGGGGGGGGTTGCCGGTCTAGGACGGCGGTCGCTCAGGCGTACGAAGTCCAAACGTCAGGTCTACAGTTTGCTCCCCGCCCTGCGGCTCCAGGGGCCCAGAGGCGCCCCCGCCACAAGCCGACCCCCGGGCAGCGCGAGAAAGCGGCCCCGCGCCGCCGGGAAAAGGACCTGCCCCGGCCCGGAGGCGAGGGGACGCCGGGAAACACTGCCATGGAGACAGACCCTGGGACTCCGAGCGCCAGGATCGCAGGGCGAAGGAAAACGCGCCCCTCAGCGCCTCCGCCCCGGGACGCGCCGGACCCGCCGCCCCTCCCGCCCCCAGCCCTGCAGAGCGACACGTCGTCACTGCCCATCAGGCCGTAAGGATACTCTCCAAACTCAGGCTGTCCCCGAATTCCTTGTTCGCCTTCGAGCCAGCCGAGGGCCGCTCGTTTTCTTTATTTTCGTCTCCTCCGGCACTGCGTCCGCCGCCTCCGCCGCCGCCACTGCCACCACTGCCGCCGCCGCCGCCGCCGCCTGGAACCTGCTTCTCGGCAGCCATCTTGCCCCTGCGCCGCAGAGCAGGACGGGATAGAAGAGGCGAGAGGCCCAGGGGCGGGAGAGAGCGGGACCTGCCAGGCCGGGCTGATGGGATAGTGGCGGACTCCGACGGCCCTTCCCGAGCCCAGGCGTCAGCTGCCGGAGCGCGCCTGCGCGTGGGCTGGACGCTCGGTGTCCGGAGCCGGGCGGAGGCTGCGGGACTGGCCGGCGCCAGGGACTGCTGGGGTCTTCTCGGGGCCAGTCCCTCCTCGTGTCCACCAAGGGCAGGAGGACTGGAGATGGACCCCCCCACACACACACACCTCCTGCAGCCCTGCGCAGGGGATCCGGCTCCTTCGCGCACACTTGGGTTTCGGGGTGCGCAGCTCCCGGAGGACGCGGGAGTCGGGGTCCCGCCCTGCAGGCACGTTGCACTCGCCTGCGAGGGGAGCGCCTCCTCCTGCTCTTTCCCCTGGGCCGATGGCGAGGCGGCAGGCAGGTGTCCCAACGCGGGGCCCCTCTCAGACTGCCGGGACCGGTGGACTGAGGGGGCAGCAGCGCCGATCCCTGCCGGTCATTACTGCTGGGTGATGGGGGGGGGGGTGCCATGGCCCTCCGTCCACACCGCCAGCATCCGTGACTGACAGGGTCGTCACTGGAGTGGTAACCCTCTCCGCCCAGCATCAGCTCTCAGCCCTCAGGTGGACCCCAGACAGGAAGAAGAGAACAGGTGTCGTGGGGCAGCCGGCGATCTGGGACGCAGGTGCGCGCTGGCGGCAAAGCCGAGCGGCCGCTCTGCGGGACAAGGTGTGGAGGCTGTGCCGAAAGCGAGGAGGAGCCCGGGGCTGGGCGTGAAGCCTCCGCTGGGGCGCCGGCCGCTGCCTCCGACCCAGCTCCCTGCTGACGCGCCTGGGAGGCCGCAGGTGACGGCCATGTGCTCAAGTGCTCGGTCCCCGCCGCCCACCTGGGAGACCTGGCTGGAGCTCCTGGCTCTGGGCTTCGGCCTGGCCCAGACCTGGCTGCTGCAGCCACTTGCGGAGTGAACCAGCAGATGGAGGACCTCTCATTCTCTGCCGCTCTGCCTTTCAAATAAATAAATAAATCCTCAGCCGGCACCGCGGCTCAATAGGCTAATCCTCCACCTTGCGGCGCCGGCACACCGGGTTCTAGTCCCGGTCGGGGCGCCGGATTCTGTCCCGGTTGCCCCTCTTCCAGGCCAGCTCTCTGCTGTGGCCCGGGAGTGCAGTGGAGGATGGCCCAGGTGCTTGGGCCCTGCACCCCATGGGAGACCAGGAAAAAGCACCTGGATCCTGGCTCCTGCCATCGGATCAGCGCGGTGCGCTGGCTGCAGCGGCGGCCATTGGAGGGTGAACCAACGGCAAGGGAAGACCTTTCTCTCTCTGTCTCTCTCTCTCACTGTCCACTCTGCCTGTCAAAAATAAAAAAAAAAAAATAAATCCTCAACGAAGCAGTTCAGCTTCTGGGTATGCATGCCTAAAGAACTGAAGGCAAGCTCTGGGAGAGGTGTTTTGTGCCCTGGACAAAGCCCCCTCGTGCCCTTGGGCGGGTTAACAAAATGTGTATCCACGTAACCCAGTGGTCAGCTTTCAAAGCGAGTGAAATTCTGCGTTCTGGAACATGGATAAACCTTGCAGCTAGCAGGCCAAGCAGGCCAATCACAAAAGGACCGCACTTACACCCAAAACAGGCAAATCCGGAGAAGCAGAAACACAATGGTGTGTGCCTGTGGCTGGTGGGAATTGTTCACGGGTGGGGAGTTTCAGTTCTGCAAGAGGAAAACTTTCTGATGCGGGGGTGGGGGGGGGGTGAAAAATGTCTAGAGCTTGGTTGCAAACAGTGGGAATGGATTCCTGAGCTACAGGTTTAGACGTGGCTGCATGGTAAAGTTTATGTTATGTGTATTTTACCATAATTAAAATTTTTTTAAAGATTTATTTATTTTAAAGTCAGAGTTACAGAGAGAAGAGAGGCAGAGAGAGAGGTCTTCCATCTGTTGGTTCACTCCCCAGTTGGCCACAACGGCCGGAGCTGTGCCGATCCGAAGCCAGGAGCTTCTTCTGGGTCTCCCGTGTGGGTGCAGGGATCCAAGGACTTGGGCCATCTCCTACTGCTTTCCCAGGCCACAGCAGAGAGCTGGATCGGAAGTGGAGCAGCCGGGACTAGAACCGGCACTCATATGGGATGCCAGCGCTTCGGCCGGGGCTTTAACCCACTGCGCCACAGCGCCAGCCCCAATTGAAAACTTTTTTAAAGCATCCTAAATGCTTGTGGACAACTCAGTGCAAAAGGAGAATGTAGCCCAAGCACACAGTGGAATGTTACCTGGCCATCATTTGGAGAGAAGCTCTGGTTGAGCTACAGCGTGGGGGAACTCTGGGAAGGTTACGCTCAATGGAAGAAGCCACACGCGGAAGGCCACGTGTTGTAGGAGTCCACTTCTGTGGAATGCCCAGAATAAGTGAATTTATAGGCAGAAGGTAGATGGGTGGTTCCCTGGGGTTGGGGGTGCAGATTGGGGGTCGAAGCCTGGAGGGCAGGGGTTTCTTTTCCCGGGGAAGCAGCAGATGATGGCTCAAGGACTTGAGTCCCAGCCTCCCGCATTCAAGACCTGGATAGGGTTCCCGGTTCCTGGCTTTCAGCAGAAGATGGAAGATGTCTCTCTCCCTTTCCCTGACGTTCTTTCAAATAAATAAACCTTAAGAAGCAAACTCTGCAATGCCTCTTCACTTAACTCAGACCAAGACCACACAGGCCTTGGTTCCGGGGGACAGGTACACCCCTGCCTTGGGGGCTGTGCACTGGCTGGTCCCCTGGGCTGGGTGCTCTTCCGTTAGGTACCTGCTTGTCTGGCCCTCCCACGGCTTTCAAGTCTTTGCCCAAATGTCACCTTCTGCTATTTTGAATTTCCTCAACCTTTTCCCTTTCTAGATACCTGACTAGGGGAGGGAGGGCAAAGAATTTGATTCGTTCAGATTCAACTAACTGGGCTCGGGCCTCTCACACAGGGTTCGCTGCATCTTTCCCAGAGCCCTCTGAGAAGGGAGCATCACGTGCTCACCTACGACTATGGAGACAGACACAGCACCAAAGACAGGGCCTGACCCCCAGTGGAAGCTCGACAAATATCCACTTCTTAAAAATTTATTTTATTTATTTGAAAGAGTTACAGAGAGAGGTAGAGACACGCAGAGAAGTCTTCCTTCTGTTGGTTCACTCAAATGGCCTCAATGGCCAGAGCTGTACCGATCTGAAGCCAGGAGCCAGGTGGTTCTTCCCGGTCTCCCACATGGGTGCAGGGGCCCAAGGACTTCGGCCATCCTCCAGTGCTTTCCCAGGCACATGAGCAGGGAGCTGGGTTGGATGTGGAGCAGCCAGGACTCGAACCGCCATCCATATGGGATGCTGGCACCGAAGACCAGGGCTTCAAGCTGCTGCACCACAGCGCTGGCCCCTAAATATCTATTTTTTAAAAAGATTTATTTCTTTATTTGAAAGGCAGAGTTACAGAGAAGGAAAGACAGAGAGCTCTTCCATTTGCTGGTTCACTCCCCAAATGGCTGCAACGGCCAGGGCTGGCCAGGCTACAACCAGGAGCCAGGAGCTTCATCCATGTCTCCCATGTGGGTGCAGGAGCCCAAGGACGTGGGCCATCTTTCACAGGTTTCCCAGGCGCATTAGCAGGAAGCTGGACTGGAAGTAGAGCAGCCGGGACTTGAACGAGCACCCATAAGGGATGCCGGCTCTGCAGACAGTCGCTTAATTAGCGACACCACTGTGCAGGCCCCGATAAGTATATCTTTAAAATACATCTTTAAATTTGGGGCTGGTATTGTGGTGCACGGGGTTAAGCCATTGCCTGCGACACAGGCATCCCATGTGGGCACCAGTTCATGTCCTGGCTGCTCCACTCCACTCCAGCTCCCTGCTAATGTACCTGGGAGAGCAGCGGAGGGTGGTTCAAGTGTTTGGGCCCTGTACCCATGTGGGAGACCTGGAAGAAGCTCCTGGCTTCAGCCTGGCGCAGCCCTTTGGGGAGTGAACCAGCATATGAAAGAGCTCTTTCTGTCTCTCCCTGTCTTTCTGTATCTCTACCTTTCAAATGAATCTTTAAAATATATATCTTTAAAATTTTACTTATTTTCATTTTATTTGAAAGAGTATGAGACATACAAAGAGCTCCCGTAACCGGGCAAAGGGAGATATAAAAATTACGGACGCTGCTTCCGGCCATAGCAGAATGCAGGGGGTGGAGTCCCACAGTTTTTACTCCAATTCTGGCCAGATGATGTCTTCCAGGTCGCTGTTACAGAGCACTGTGTCATGTTACACTTCAAGGTTAAGTCGCTCGTTTTCCCCTTTGCTCATGCCCTGGGAATGCTTTAACTTTTTTTTTTTTTTTTTTTTTTTTTTTTTTTTTTTTTTGACAGGCAGAATGGACAGTGAGAGAGAGAGGCAGAGAGAAAGGTCTTCCTTTTTACCGTTGGTTCACCCTCCAATGGCCACTGCGGCCGGCGCACTGCGCTGATCCAAAGCCAGGAGCCAGGTGCCTCTCCTGGTCTCCCATGCGGGTGCAGGGCCCAAGGACTTGGGCCATCCTCCACTGCACTCCCGGGCCACAGCAGAGAGCTGGCCTGGAAGAGGAGCAACCGGGACAGAATCCGGCACCCCAAACAGGACTAGAACCTGGTGTGCTGGCGCCGCAGGCAGAGGATTAGCCTAGTGAGCCGTGGTGCCAGCCCTCTTTTTTTTTTTTTTTTTTTTTTAAGAATTTTTTATTTATCTGAGAGGCAGAGAGAGAGAGGTCTTGCATCCACTGGTTCACTCCCCAGATGGCCACAACAGCCAGAGCTGGGCTGATCTGAAGCCAGGAGCCAGGAGCTTCCTCTGGGTCTCCCACATGGGTGCAGGGGCCCAAGGACTTGGACCATCTTCCACTGCTTTCCCAGGCCATAGCAGAGAGCTGGATCAGAAGAGGAGCAGCTGGGACTAGAACTGATGCCCAGCCTCAGCTCCGGGCCCGAATGCTCTGTTACCTGGGCTTCTCTCCCAGGCAGAGTTCAGCTCCAACAGGGATAGTCCCTGTACCTGCAGGCAGCGGCTGGCCCATTTTGGCCTTTATCACAGCTCCCCTGAAGATGTGCCGCTCCTCCCGCACCTGTGAATCCAGCCCCCTTCTCTGCAGCTTCCGGAAAAACCTCTAAGCAGGACAGCAGTGCAGGCTGTGGTCCTCATCCGTGCGTAGATTGACCTGTTCCTTACCCTCAAACCTTGTCCTCACGCTAACGCAGCACCCGGGACCGGAACTGCACTTTCCCTAACTCTCCCATCCGCTGGTTCACTCCCCAGCGCTCCCAACACATACCCACCTCCCCCAGGCGCTGGGCGGGCTTCCTGCAAGGCCTGGCAGGAATGGGCCAGGGTGTGGAGCACCAGGCGGGACCATCCCACTCACCAGTTCTGGAAAACCCAAGTCCCACCCCCGATTCCCCAGGGACTGGCCCCAAACTCTCCCTCCAGCCCATCCCTGGAAAGTGCTGCCGCACGCCCGCCCAGCTGCAGCGAAAGGTGAGCAGGTACACAGCCCTGGGGTTGCTCCAGGAAGTCGGTTCTCCGGCTCAGCCCGGATTCGCCGCCCTCCGCTCCCGGGATAGCCTTGCGGGATAGCTCCACAGGATGTGTGCCAGGACCTCGGGACAGGCTTCCCCCCTCCCCGTGGCGGTGGGGGGGGGGGCACCCTCTGGCTGCTTGCTCCTCCCCCTGACCCCAGTGCACCCCGACTCCAGCCCAACAAGGCTCCCTCCTGCGTCAGCGGCCAGGGTGTAGATGGAGGCTGCAGGAGCCGGCCGGGCAGCCTCGGGTCGGGCGGCACCATGACCGGCTGGGATGGCCAGGGGTCCGAGAACGCGAGCCGGGCGGGCGGTGGGGACGCGGGCGGCTGGCAGGCCGAGGCGGTCCTTGTGCCTCTGCTCTTCGGGCTCATCTTCCTCGCGGGCACGGTGGGCTGTGCGGTGGCCAGGCGGTCAGCACCACCAACCTGGGCGTGGCTGACCTGTGTTTCATCTTGTGCTGTGTGCCCTTCCAGGCCACCATCCACACCCTGGACGGCTGGGTGTTCCGCTCGCTGCTCTGCAGGGCCGTGCACTTCCTCATCTTCCTCACCGTGCACGCCAGCAGCTTCATGTTGGCCGCCCTGTCCTTGGACAGGTGAGTGGGCACCCAGGCAGGCGCTGGCGAGCAGGGCGGGGCCGGGATCAGCCGGGAGAGCAGGAATGGACCCTTACAAGGCACAGGCGGGCGAGGGGGAGGAGAACGGGGAATAAGTGTGGGAGCCACAGTGGCGGCGCTGGGAGAGGTGCATCCCTGGGCCTGCTGGGGGAGCGCTCAGCCCTCCAGCAACCCCGGGGCAGGTCAATGCACAAATTCTCAGTACCAAGAGTCTCCGTGTGCCTCCTCTCACTCGAGTTTAAATTAATGCTCCGTGAGATGGGATGGGTGAAAAGACTGTGCCTAATTTATGGGACAGATGGAGTTGGCAACTTGCTCGGTGTACTCTTGGGCAGGAAGGGAACTTGGCCTCTTTGAGCCCCGACCTCCGGGGCCTCCACCCAGCCTGGGTTGCTCAGTGCCGTCGGCTGGGGTCTGGAACTTGGGCCTTTCGCAAGGACCCACAACAGAGTGGGAGCCACTGTGTCACCCTGGCCCTCCCCTCCAGGCTGGAAGGAGGGGACGCAGGGAGAGGACAGTAGCCCCTTAGGGAGTCAGGTGGAGCTTAAAAGGACACTAGGACATTCCTGGCAAGGAAACCAGGGTCTGACTTCGGTATCTGCTCCCACCTTCCTGGAAAAAGCAGCCAGGTGAGGCCATAATCCCCAGCCCCCGTGGCCACTGAGGGGGGAGCGGGCAGCTCCTGAGACGCTGGTTCTGCCGTCCCTCCAAACGACCTGGCTGCACCTTGCCTGGCCTGCCTCCTCCAGGCCCCTGGCTTCCACCTCCCAGGGCACCGGCGGATGATCTCAGCCCTCGGGGACTTTGGGGCGCTCTCCTGGGTGGAGCATGTCTGTGGTCACAGTCCCGGGGCAGCAGAGGACTGGTCTGGATGTGCACCTGTCCTGCCGGTGGCCCGCAATCCCACTAGGCTCTCCCGGAATGTTTGGTGTGACCCTGGGCTGGGGACATTCCTGGAGAGCAGGTGTGGGCCCCGACATGAATCCGCCATCGTACCCTACCTCTCCCTGACCTCCAGGTATCTGGCCATCTGCTACCCACTGCACTCCCGCGAGCTACGGACACCTCGCAATGCGCTGGCGGCCATCGGGGTCATCTGGGGGCTGTCCCTGCTCTTCTCCGGGCCCTACCTGAGCTACTACCGCCAGTCGCAGCTGACTAACCTGACCGTGTGCCACTCGGCGTGGAGCATGTCTCGCCGCCGCGCCATGGACCTCTGCACCTTTGCCTTCGGCTACTTGCTCCCGGTGCTTGTTCTCACCTACACGCGCACCCTGAGCTGCCTGTGGCGCGCCGTCGACCAGTGGCTGCGGGTTCAGGCAGCCGGCGCGCCAAGCGCAAGGTGACACGCATGATCATCATCGTGGCCGCACTCTTCTGCCTCTGCTGGCTGCCCCACCACGCGCTCATCCTCTGCGTGGCGTTCGGCCGCTTCCCGCTCACGCGCGCCACCTACGCGCTGCGCATCCTCTAGCACCTGGTCTCCTACGCCAACTCCTGCGTCAACCCCATAGTCTACGCGCGGGTCTCCAAGCACTTCCGAAAGGGCTTCCGCAGGATCTGCGCAGGCCTGCTGGACCGCACCTCGCGCCGAGCCTCCTGCCGCGTGCGCGCTGCCACGCGGGACACCCTCGGTGCAGCAGCGAGCTGGCGCGGGCGTCCACCCACCTGACGCACATGAGCGAGACGGCAGGGGGACACTGTGCTCCTGCCCCTCCCAGCGGTGCTGTCTCCAGCTGAGCTCCTGGCCCACTCTGGCTGGACCGAAAAACCCAATCCTGACAGTTACTGTGACCTCAGGGCAGGTCACGGGTAGGCTTGCATGGCCAGGGCTGGAGTCAGAGGTTGGGGATCGTGAATAAAATTGCAGAACGTTTCGCATGCACTGTCAACCTACTTCTCTCATCATCAAACTCCATGGGAAAAAGCTTCTGGGATTTCATAGAGGTGCTCCCAAAGGATGGGTACTTTGCTAAACTCCTGGGAAAGAGGAGTGGCTGGGTTAAAATCCACGTAAAGGGGCTGGCCTGGTGGCACGACGGGTGAGGCCATTGCTTGCAATGCAGGCATCCATTGGGGTGCCAGTTGGAGACCCTGTTGCTTGGCTTTCCATCCAATCTTCTGCAGAAATTGTCCCAAGTCCTTGGGTCCCTGCCACCCCAGTGGGAGACCAGGATGAAGGTCCTGGCTCCCAGCCCCTGGCTCGGGCCTGGCCCAGACCCGGCTGTGGCCATCATTTTGCAGTCAGTACATCGCAGCTCTGTCTCTCCTGCTCTATGTTCCAAAGAAATAAATCTAAAAAACAAAACAAAACAAAGCCAGGTAAAACTCCCTGAGGCTAGAGAGCACAGAGGGCTGATGGCCAAGGGGTGTGTGGATCGCCCCGCCGGCTGCCAGTGGGTTTGAGTGCGTTCTATGAAGTCGGTGGATGACAGACACATGTGTGACCCACCCTCGCAGGCTTCCAGGTCACGGGGATCACCGCCCACCCACTTTAAACCTCGGCTTTTCCTTCCCTGGCTACAGCTGGGTGGGGGATCAGGCCTCCAGTGTCAGTATCTGCCACACCCTCCCCCCCAACCCCCAAGTCTCGGGGGTTCTGCTCCAGGCACACAGCAGCGACTCTGACACTGCTGGGCTGGGCAGGCTGGGAAGCCCACACTGGGACATGAGGGCCCGCTCTGTCCTGGGGTTTGCCTTTCTCCCACAGATCTTGAACCAAGGATCCTTACAGAAGACCAGCTCCAGGTTTAAGGACAGCACGGAATTCCCAAGTTCACGTCGCTGAGTGTGGGGCACTTTGGCCAAGGGCTCGGGTACTTAGCCAGGCTGGCCCCAGCCACTGAAACACAGGAGCTTCAGCCTTGCGTGGAAGGAACAAGTCAGGGAGAGGTGGGGGGTCCTGGCTCTGCCCACCCTCCTCGCTGGGTGGTGAGCAGGGCAACAGGTTCCAGGTGGTGGAAATAGAGTGGGACAGGGACAGGTGCAGGTGGGTGTGGCTGGGCTCTCAGCTTTGTCTTTGGGTGTTTGCACAACTTGGGGGGGGTGCTATGTCCAAGGCCCAGGGTCCCTGCACAGAACAAATGCCTCCCACCGACCGCCCGGCCCACAGAGAAGTGACTGGAATAGGAGTTGCAGCTCACACTGCTGCTCCTGTGGCCAGACGATGGCTCGGAGGATCCTGCTCCATCTCGCCTTCCTGGGGCTGGGCAGCATCTGGCCCTCAGTTCAGGGGCCCAACTTCCACGTGCTGGCCGTGGGTAGGTAGATGTAAGGTTTGTAACTCTGGGATTTGGGCACTTGGGTGACCGTGACCTCCACCCCTCCATCTGGCCCTCTCCACCCCCAGACCTCAACTCCCTCCTGGAGGAGCGAGAAAGCACCCAGATTCCCAAGAACGGGAGCGCGCCCCTGCTCGTGAGCGTGCAAGTGCTCGTGTCCAATGTGTTTAATGTGGTGAGCGCCGTCGGGTGGTGGGGAGGGCCCAGCGCCCGTGCTGAGCTGGGGGCGGGCAGGACGCAGCCCTGGTTAGTGCTGGGGTCTCCTGCCCACCTGTCACGCGGTGCCCCCCCGAGCTGACGGGCTGCACCCTCTCCTAGGACATCCTGCGGTACACAGTGTCCTACATGCTGATACTCCGGCTGGTGAGCTCCTGCCCTGGGCAGGGGGGACGGCAGCACGTGGCCGGCTGGCCGGGACGTGGCCGGCCAGCCGGGACGCACTGGCCTTCGTCATCCTGCGAGCCTGAGGGCTAGGGCGCAGGCAGCAGGAGCGTCAGTGGCATCTTTATGTCCCCAGTCCTGGCTGGATGCCCGCCTGGCCTGGAATGCCAGTACGTCCCCGCGACACGTTGTCACGCTGCCCATGGACTCCCTCTGGACACCTGGACTCTCCATCCGGGAGGCGTAAGTGAGGCAGAAAACCCACTGCACAGAACCCTCCTCCTCTTTCCCATCGGAGCCCAGAGGCCATCTTGGTGGGTGGTCCCCTCTGTAAGCGCACCCCGCTGCATGCATGTCCCCCTCTCCCTGGCGGAACCCTGCTCAAAGGCAGCGGGGTGTGACGGATGCAGCGTGTCCCTGCTCCTGCTGGTCTCTGCTGTCGGGGTTCTCGCAGGCTCTGGACAGAGTGAAGACCAGAGCCGCAGGCTGTAGTGGCCCAGGACGGCCACGTTGAGATCAACCTGTCCCTCACCACTGAGGCCAACTGCGACTTTGAGCTCCTGCACTTCCCCCGGGACCAGAGCCACTGCAACCTGAGCTTCTTCGTTTTCAGCAACACTGGTGCTGCCAGGGCAGGGCCCCGGCGAGGGGGGGGGAGGGGACCCTGGCTCTGGCACAGGGCTGGCTGTGTCCAGTCCAGGCCACCCCCAGGACTGGGGTTGCTAACAGCCAGGAGAGCAGCGCGTGCTTCCCGCCCCTCTGGTTTGCCCTGCCCTCAGCTGCAGCCTCCCCGCCCGCCCCTCCGGTCACAGCTCCAACCTTCCAAACCACAGCTGCTGTGCAACCCGGGGAGTTCCCTGATCATGTCAGCCTCCTCTCCCCAGGCCTAACTGCAGGGGCCGGGCCCTGCGCCCCAAGCCCAGAGCTCTGTCGGCTGCGGTCTCAGCCCCGGGGACAACCACCACCCCACACACCCATCAGGTGACACCCACGTTGGAGGAGGGGTCCTACCCTTCCCTGAGGTGCCTCCTCCCCGTCAGATGGGAGCACGGGTCTGTGGCCACTTCCCCTGCGTGAAGGGGAGCGGAGTGCATTTCATTTCACGACGAAAGCCCCCACCTTTGAATCTGGCAAGGCAGGCCCTCCCTCTGCCGGGGGAGGAGCCGCGGCGCTGCCCTTGTAAGGCCTCCTGCGGACCGGTCTCGCCCCCAGCCTGCCCCTCCGAAGTCACCAGGAGTCTCCGTCACCCCTGGTCTCCGCTGTCCTGCTTCTACCCCAAGAGCGATTCGGGCAGGGTGGCTCTTTGCTAGTTTGCCCTTCTCCCCCCCCCCCCCCTTTCAGTGAGGGAGCTGGAGTTCCAGGCCCACGCCAGGAATGAGATCGTCAGCATCAAGCGGGAATACGTGGTCAGCGACGTGAAGACGCGGGCCCTGCCCCAGCAGCTGGTGCCCTGCTTCCAGCTGACGGTGAGTCCCGTCGGGGAGAGGCCGGCAGAGGCGGGGCTGGGGGCACACAGTCCCCCACATCCTCCGGCTTCCTTCCAGCTGAGCCTGAAGAACACGGCGCTCAAGTCCATCATCGCGCTGATAGTCCCCGGGGAGGCCCTGCTGCTGGCGGACGTGTGCGGGGGGCTGCTGCCCCTGCAGGCCTTCGAGCGCGGCACCTACAAGGTGACACTGCTGCTGAGCTACCTGGTCTTCCACTCCTCCCTGGTGCAGGGCCTGCCCAGCTCGTCCTCCTGCAACCCACTGCTCAGTAAGCCCCCCCCAGCCTCGGGGCCTCGCCCGGCTGCTCCCCGGGAGCCTGGGAGCCGGGAGGCCGGGCCTGGCCCCTGACATCCTGCCCCCGCCACCTCCAGCTCACTACTTCACCGTCCTGCTGCTGCTGCTCTTCGTCAGCACCGCGGAGACCGTGCTGCTCGCCGGGCTGCTGGCCAGGGGCAACCTCAGGGCCCAGCCCTGCCCCAGCCCCGCCCCAGCAGGGCCACCACGGGAGCGTGGGAACCCAGGGCCTGGTCCTGAAGGTGGGTGGCTGGTGAGCAGTGGGGCCGGGGCTCGGGTCCGCGGTGTGTCCAGCGGCTCCCTGCGTTCACTCCGCTGGCTCTGCCGTCCCTGGTCCCCCCCCCCCGGTTAGAGCAGGCCCGGAGCAGGGAGTCGCCTTAGCCTCCCTAAAGGTGACCTCAAGCTCTGAGGCAGCCGTGCTCGCAATCTCACAAGGGGGGTCTCTCCTCTGCGGGGGGGGGGGGGGGGGGGGCGGGCGGGGGCTAGAACGGGCCAGCCCCAGGCTGTGAGAAGTCGCGACTCTGAGGGAGAACACGCGCATGCTCTGTGCTGTGGGGCTCTGAACAGCAGCTCCTGCCCCTGCCTCTCCCCACAGGCGCCCCCGGAGGAGGAAAGGGGTCAGGGAGAAGCTGGGCCGAGGCGGCCGACCGCATCTTCTTCTTCGCGTACGTGGCCAGCGCGCTGTGCAGCCAGCTCATCTTTGCTGCCATCTGGATCTGGGCAACGTGCGAGTCTGACCCACCCCCCGGGATGGCCGTCCCCCACGGCGGGCAGCCCAGCTTCTAGCAGGACGCGGGGTGGGTTCCTGAGGCCGGGGGAAGCTCTCTGGAGAGAGGGGAGGAGGACCCTGGAGGACCCCGTCCACCCTGAGCTCCCCCGTGTTAGCATACAAGTAGTGTGAAATAAACCCGCCCCCCAGTGCACGTGCGGCGCGAGGCTCTGTCTTCATTCCACTCAGCGGTTTACTCCCAGCCCGAGCAGGCGGGGCCCTTGTGCCCTCGACCCCCCGTGACTGCTGAACTTCTCACCACTGCCCACCACTCAGCCCACACGCTGGGCCCTGGGCGGCAGCTCTGGATGCTTCTGGCAGTGCGCTGGCCCCGAGGGGAGGGACAGTGAGCAGCCCTGGGAGGTGGAACGTCTCCAGGCCTCAGGACGGGAGGCCTGCGCCAAATCCAAGACAGCTGGGCGGCCCGACTGCTCTCTCTCCAGGGTGCCCGGTCCTCTGAGCCCTGCCCCTACTTCTGGGCTGCAGGGGGAGTTTGTCACCAGCTCTGACCAGGCCAGGAGGGCTCTGAGCTCCTGCCCTGGGAACACACAGGCAGCTGGGGCCCCTCTTCTCGCCCCTTTCCTGTGTCAGAAGCCATCACGTGGTCCTTGCGCGCTCCGGTGGGGATCACAGAACTCGAGCGTGAAGGGACCCAGCGTTCTGGGCGAGGGCTGGTTTGGGCCTCACAGAAGCGGAAATCAGGGCTTAGAGGGCGCAGTGACGAGCTCCCGTCTGGGGCAGGGAGGGAGGTGTCTGTCCCAAAGGACTTCAGACTCACCCTGCCCCGAGTCAAGTGAACACTGGTTTATCTGTCCAATGACACCAGGCAGGGCGTGGCAGGCTCAGGCGGAGGTGTCAAAGAGGCGATCGATCATGTCGCCCACCTGATCCACGCGGTACTTGATGTACTTCTCGATGTTCTTGGTGAAGGGCACGCTGCCGTACCTGAGCAGGTGCCGGGGTCAGGGAGCGGAGGGGCCTACACCCGCCCCAGCTCCACCCACAGCCCAAGGCACTGTGATGGGGCACCCCTGCGTACTGTCCCACGGCCCAGGACACCACTCCCTGAGGAAGGGGGAGCACAGAGCCCGGCGGGGCGGGGCTCACCTGTGCAGAAAGACCCCGTAGGTCTCCTTGACCATGTCTTTCTGCGCCTGGCGGATCTTGTCCCTCTGCTCTGTGTCTGGGATAGCCCAGGCCTTCTGGATCTTGCACAGCTCTTCAAGGCCGTCGTTGAAGCCCTGGCCACCGCCGACGGGGAAAGGAGAGACGTGCAGAGGCAACGCTTGGGCCCGTGCTGCTCGGGCCTGTGCAGCAGCAGCCGCCGCGAGAGGGAGAGGACCCCCGACTCACCTTAAAACGCTCCTTGATCATCTGCCGCTCCTTGTCGCGGAGCTGGGGAGCCGGGAGAGACGGCAGAGGAGGCTTGGCTCAGAGCAAGGCCGCCCTGCTCTGCTCCTTGCCAGACCCCCGGGCCCCGCCCTCTCTCCCGCTGCCCACGGCCACAGGCACCCTTGCTCTGTGATCTGCGGGGCGCACGGCTGTTTCTCCCCAGAGACGGGACAAAAAGCTCCACGTTCCTGCCCAGCCCAGGCCTCTGCCCACCTTGACTCCTGGCTGGAGCACAGGTAGATTCTTGTCTGCGATGTAATCGATCACCTTTATCCAACTGCCAGACAGGGAGAGAAGCGTGAGGACAGCGCGGACCACAGGGCTGCCTCGTCCCGAGCGCCAGGGCTGCTTGTTTTTGTTCTGAATCCCTCGATCTATTTGGGGAGGGGGCGGTGAACTGATCTGGGTCACCACTAAGCGGAATAACCGAGATCTTTCCCTCGGGAACAGAAAGTGTTTTAGCTGCTCATTCTAAAAAGTCAAATGCAGGACACCCCCAGCCATCAACAGATGGAAAAAACGCCATCCCTGGGCCGCCCATGGAAGTCATGGCCAATCAAGACAGAGAATCGGAAGAAACAGACCACCGGAGGAAAGAGGCCAGAGGACCAGGGAGCGCGCCAGGCCTGGCCAGGCTCAAGGGCTCCTGCCACCTTGCTGCCTCCGGGGCCAGGCCTGACCCGCATCTCTGTCAGTTCTTCACCTCGGCTGAGCCTCGACCACCATCTGAGGGGCCAGCCGCGGGGGCCGGCAGCAGGGATCAGTGGTGTGATTCCAGGCAGAGGGCTGGGGTCACGGAGGAGCAGTGCCCAGCACCCCAGGCCTGAGAAGGGAGGGGGCGCCGGGCCGGGGCTGCACCTGCGCTGGTAGATCTGGATCTGCTGCTGGATGTGCTCGCGGTAGGAGCGCTCGGCGGTCTTCTGGGTCACGGCCACCAGCTGCATCAGCTCGGACCTGGCAGGGTGGGGAAGAGCGGAGGACAGAGGCGGCCGGCCTCGGCGTGCTGCTCCATCTCCCAGAGCTCTGGGCAGCAGCCCTCACGCGGCGCATCAGGGCGGAGGCGAGTCAAGCCCCTCCCCACCTCACGCCAGAGGCCGGCCCTGGGAGACCTGCCCCTGGGAGATGGGGAGACCGGGCGGAGAGAGGCAGACCCAACCTGGGGGACAGGGCGGAGAGGCAGCCCCAACCTGGGGGACCCGCCCCTGGAAGACCAGGCAGTGAGAGGCAGACCCAACCTGGGGGACCGGGTGGTAAGTGCGCAGACCCGCCCCTGGGAGACAGGGAGACCAGGTGGTGAGAGGCAGCCCCGCCTCTGGGGGACCTGCCCCTGGGAGATGGGGAGACCGGGCAGTGAGAGGCAGCCCCAACCTGGGGGACAGGACGGAGAGAGGCAGACCTCCCCTGGGGGACTGGATGGTAAGCACGCAGACCCGCCCCTGGGAGATGGGGAGACCCGGCAGTGAGAGGCAGCCCCAACCTGGGGGACAGGGCGGAGAGAGGCAGACCTCCGCTGGGGGACCCGCCCCTGGGAGACCGGGCAGTGAGAGGCAGACTGCCCCTGGGGGACCCGCCCCTGGGAGACCGGGCAGTGAGAGGCAGACCGCCCCGCGGCACCCACTTCTCCAGGGACTTTAGGATGTAGTTGTAGTTGTTGTGCAGGAAGATGGCACTCAGAGCCGGGTCCTCGTACACCTTGGACTTGCTCAGCAGGTTCAGCTGCAGGTTGCCCAGGACTTTACCTGCGTGGAGGAGGAAGGGCCACGGTCTCAGGACTCCCCAACCAAGCCTTACCCATCTTCCCTTGCGCCTCCTGACTCCAGACTCCAGGGGCCTCGAGAGCCCTTGCCCAGCTCCCCCTGGTCTCTGACCGGAGCACAGGTGGCCACTGCAAAGGTCGGGGGCTCAGGAGCGCACCAGAGGCCAGGCAGAGGCCAGGAGGGCGGGCTCTGGGGAGAACTCACAGACGTAGGTGCTCAGCAGCCGCCTGCTGAATTCGGAGCTGTAGCTGGTGGCAGACGAGCTGGTCTCTGGGGGAGGAGAAGCCCTGTTAGTGGGGCGGTGGCCGAGACCCTCGAGGGCCCTCCCTCAGCCCAAGGAGCACCCTGGGAGTGCTGGGCAAGTCCCTTGGGTTTCCCTGGGCAGACAGAACCCAGAGGCGTCCCAGCAGAGCGGGGCGCCTGAGCTCCAGGGCCGCCCCCAGCCCCAGGAAGCACTGTGCCGGGACTCCTGGGACCCAGGGCCTCCCCTCTGCCACGATGCACGGTGTGGTTAAGGAGCTGGTCCTGTGTGGGAAGGCTGGCAGGACAGCCCCCAGCCGTGACCCCTGCTGGGTGGGATCGACAAAGCCCCCTTTTCCCACCGGCCAACAACTAAGCCTTAGAATGGGCTTCCCACAGCTCCTCCAGCTTCTCCCCACATTTCCCACAATGCCCTCTGCCAGGCCCTTCTGCTGCCCCGACAGACTGGGAGGCCAAGGGGGCGGGAGGCATAGGGAAGGGCTGCTAGGGTGAAGGGCAGCTGCAGGGCGCCAGGGGCAGCAGGCTACGGCCTGGGTAGGCTCGGAGACAGCACACAGGGAGCTGAGCGCACCCCCACCCGCAACAGGTCCTCAGAGTCAGTCCCCAGGCTGCGGAGCCGCACTGCTTACCTCGGGGGTCTAAAGGAATATTGTATGTGTCCCCAAGAACTACGGAGAGGCAGTGCACACAGGGGACAGAGCGAGAGACAGCAGGGAGAAAGATGCAAGTGCAAAAACAGGTTAGAGACGCGGCCCGCGATCCTGCGTCAGAAAACTTCTCCCCACGACAGCCGACAGACAGCACGACACGCCAGGCTGGGCCCGCTGAAGGCCAGGGAACATGCTGGAAAGCAGGCCTGGGAGAGCCATGGCCGGGAGGTGCCCCCTTGGCTCCTTGTCCCCAGAGGGGGTCAGGAGAGCTCAAAGTTTGGAATGCCCCAGAGAGGTGTTTCCCCTGACACGCTGCCCTCCCAAACTCCAGTTCCAGGGTTCCAGGGTGGTGGCCTGAGGGGGGACACCCAGCTGGCCCCGAGGAGCCAGCCCGTGGAGGGTCAGCTGTACAAGACTGACCAGGAGGACAGGCAGACTGGAGAGGCTCCTTGAAGCCACCAGTGCCCACCCCAGGCTGAAGACGGCCACAGGGGTGAGGCTGGGGCTGGGAGTCTGTTCACCAAGGGCACAAGCCAGCCTCGCTGTGGACACTCAGCCTTGGATGGCCTCCGGGCTGGGGCCTCCACAGGCCACTCTCAGACCCAGGCCACAGGCTGGAGGAGTTTCCTCGTTGGGCCCTGCCTTCAGCCAGAGCAGGCTGTGCCTCCTGGGTCCTACCCCACAGTCCCAGGCAAGAGGAGTGGGACAGGCAGCCCCGCAGGGAGGGCCGCGTACCTTGGGAGGCCAGCATGGCGCCCGCCGTCTCCTGGAAGTCCAGCAGCTGCTGCAGGAAGAGGATGGCCTGGGCGGGGAGGACGCAGGTCCAGGAGGGAGGTCAGGGGCAGCACCGGGCTGACTGCCTCCCAGGGCGAGGCAAGGCCAGGAGCCACCCAGGGTCAAGGGCGGCTGGAAGCTTTCACCCTCTGGGCCCTGTCTGCTGGAGACGCCAGGCCCTTCCCCGTCCATCCTGCCACCCGCCAGGGGTCCCCCACCCAGCAACCGGCCCCCAGCCCTCTCCTGTGTCCTCCCTCCCCCGGGCCCTCGCGGGCACCTACATTGCTCGTGAGCTCGTGCACAGTGCCGTCCT